ACAAGACGCCCAGGGCTCCCGAGAGGTGCAAGCCTGCCGTGCGGGTTCCCACAGGCACCTCCTCCAGGGGTGAGGGCGGCCTGGACTCCGGCCGGCGGGCGTGGGCTTCGCCTCGGCGCTCCTCGACACCCCTCTTCATCACCTTCAGCTCGCTGGGGTGAGGCGTGGCCCGACGCTGCAGGCCCTGCAACATGCACGAGGGTGCAGGGTGGGGCAGGGCAGGGCAGGGGTCAGGGGAGGGCAGGGAGGAGGCAGCCCACCCAGGCAGCCCCCCGCCATACCCGCTTCTCAGCAGCAGCCCCGTCAGCATCATCGCCGCACGTGGGGACCTCCAGAAACTGGATGACGCTCACGCGGCTGGGCGGGGCCTCGCTCCAGCTCTCCGAAGGGCTGCCCTGCTGCCCTGGGGCCTCTAAGGAAACCGAAGGTCGGCGGGCCTGTCTGAGGCCGCACCCAGCCCGGCCCGCAGCCGCCGGTCGCGGACCTACCGAGGCTGGGCGGAGGTTGCTGCGGCAACAGGTAGCAGGTGAGCACCTTCTCGCCGGTCTGAGCGTCGTCCTCGGTCTGGAACCGGAGCATCGGCTGTGCCTGGTTCTCAGCCAGCCATAGGGCCTTGAGGTTGAGGTGGGTGAGCGCAAACGGCAGACTCTGCAGCCTGGCGGCCGGTGGGCACGGTCAGCTCAGCGGCGGCCGGTGGGCACGGTCCGCTCAGCGGGGGCCGGGCCGGGCGGCTGGGCACTCACCGGTTCCCGGCCACGTCCAGCACATGTAACTCAGCCGTGTGGGCGAGCTCCGGCGGCAGGGCGGCCAGGCGGTTGTCCCGCAAGGAGAGGACGCTGAGCGCCACGCAGCCTCCAATCTCCGGTGGCAGCACCTCTAGACGGTTCCGGTCTGCGTTGAGGTTGGTCAGCTTGGTCAGCTTCCCCAGAGAGCGGGGCAGAGCCTGGCCAGGAAGAGGGAGGGCCAGGGGTTGGCAGAAATCCGCTAGGGTTTGGAAGGAGAGGGGCACCCCTCAGGGCAGTCTCCAGCGCCCATGGGCATCGCCCCCGCCAACTGCTTCCTGCCAACATCTCTCCATCCAAGCAGACAGCCAGGCCCCACCACACAGCGGCCCCCCATCCTCGCTCCCCCAGGCCCGCCAGGCCGGGCCGTACCGTCAGCAGGTTCTCCGTGAGGATTAGCTCAGAGAGGTTCTCACAGTCGCCGATGGCCTCGGTCACCTCACAGAGCCGGTTCTGGTCCACCTTCAGGATGGACAGCTGCTTCAGCTGACCTGGGGTCGGGGAGACGTGGCGACAGGGCCGAGTGGGGTGGAGGGCCCGGCTGCCCACGCAGCACCCAGCTCCGAGAAGCCCCGCCCAAGCCCAGGGCAGCACTCCTCCCCGCCGCCTGCCCCGTCCTCCCCAGCCCCAGAGGGGACAGCTCTGCACACCCGCGTGCCCTGCCCCGTTCGCCGTCCACACCCTGCCACCACGAGACGCCTCGGCTCCTCAGGTGCAGCACCCAGTCACCCCTCACCCCAGCGTCCTTTCCCCTTCTCGGGGGCATCTCTCAGGGCCCAGATAGAGTCAGGGCCCTCCCCCAGGGCCCCCCTCTAGGCCGGGGTTCACCGCCAGCCACGCCCCTCCCAGCGCCCAGGCTGGGCCTGACCGATGCCATCAGGAAGCCGCTGCAGCAAGTTCTGGGACAGCAGCAGGTCGGTGAGCAGCAGGAGCCCGCCGAGCTCCGCGGGCAGCTCCTCCAGCCGGTTTTCCGACACGTCCAGGCATACCAAACGTCGCAGGTTCCCCAGCTCCTGAGGGTGGGCACAGAGGGTCAGGGGACGGCCGGGTGCCAGCCAAGGGCTGCCACGCCCTCACTCACCGGGGGCAGTGCTGACAACTGGTTCCGGTCCAACCACAGCTCACGGAGGTTGGGCAGCGCCCCGAGGGTATCAGGCTGCAGCAACAGATGGGGACAGAGCGGCAGGCTCAGAGGAAGAGCCCGAGGTTCACCTGCCCCCCTGGCCCACGACGGCCCCGCCTTCTCCATACCAGTACTTCCAGCTCGTTGCCTCCCAGATCCAGCTGTTCCAGCTTGACCAGGAAGGACAGAGACCTACAGAACAAACAGCAGGTTCTGCTGTGGTCGCGTGGCCCAAGGCCCCCTAGGCCCGCGGCTCAAGCAAGTGCTGGAGAAAGACCCGCGCCCACTCACGCAGGCAAGGACTTGAGCAGGTTCTCCCGGAGCTCTAGGGTCACCAGGTTGGCGAGGCTGAAAGAGAGATCAGGGTGGGGAGTGATGGAAGCAGGGACAGTGGGGAGAGAGGGAGAAGTGGGGCTGAGCCGAGTACCCCTGCCCTGGAGGGCACGCACTTGCCCACATCCCCGGGCAGCGCCTGCAGGGACACGTCATTCAGCGCCAGATGGGCCAGGCTGCGCAGCTGAGTGAAGCCTTCGGGGAGCCTGCGCCAGAGAAAGAGGGACCTCAGGTGTCCAGAACAGGGCTATGGAAGCCCCCACGCCCGCTACTGCCCCCCACCACGGCCACCACCCACCTAGACAAGGGGTTCCCACTGAAGTCTGCGATCTCCAGAGCCTTGCAGAACTTGATGCTCTCCGGGATCTCGGGGATGTCTGTGACAGGAGAGGGGTCACCGTGGAGACACACCCAGAGTCCCCAAAAGCTCAAAGCCCTTCCTGCCACCCGTAAGCTCCACCCCAGCCCTGCGCTGGGCTCCGCACCGTTCCGGGACACGTCCAGCTCCACCAGCTGCATAAAATTGGCCACCTCGGGGGGCAACCGCTGAATCTCGTTGTCACTCAGGCCCAGCTTGCGCAGGTTCAGCAGCCGAAAGAAGGGCTGTGGGCAGGGAGTGGGATCAGGGGATGACAGACCCTGTAAGAGAGAGCCCCCTCCAGAGCAGACACGAATTCACAAGTCACAGACCCCGTGGGCCTCTGCCTGCTCCAGGCCACGCAGGAACCCAGGGTCCTGCCTCATCACCCCCGTCGGCAGCAAAAAAAAAAAAGGAGAGACCATCGTGTACCCACACCTGGCTGCACTTCTAACTTCCTAACTTCTGCCATCTGGTGCCTTGACATCACCTCAGACGCCTTCCCTGCCGCCATCTTCCCATAGGACGGACCTCACATGCCCAAAAGTCATCTGCTCCGAGCTGGGCGGTTCTCCGTTCCTTTCCCTGGGTGCTCCCGCAAGACTCCACTCGCCACCTGCAGCACCTCTTCTACCCACCCAGGAAGGGAGCCTGCCAGGGCCCACAGTGCTTTCTGCCACGGCACCCAACCACCCCGGCCCAAGTCTGCGGCAAGAACTTGACAGCTAGCTACAAAAAACCGCAAAAAACTCGACAAAAGCAGTGAAGCCCCACAAGCACAAGCAGCTCTGAAGGCTCCTGGAAACGGCGGGGGACAGAGCCCTCCCATCCAAGCCCAGGACGGGGGGCGGCACGCAGCCCCCAAGCCCTGGGCCGCTCGGCACCCTGTCTCCGGAAAGGAAATCCTTTTATGAGCTGCCTTCTTCACCTCTTCTCCGGAGCGGCCTTAGCAGGAAAGCAGCGGGCCAGGAGGCGCGACCGCAGGGAGAGCTGGAGAGCCTGCAGCCCTCAGAGCTACCAGGGCCAAGGACCTCTCCGAGGGCTCGCCCGCCCACCTCAGCCCGCGGAGCGGAGCAGGCCGAGGCGAGGGCCGGGCTCCCCGCCTCCGGAGCAGCCCAGCAGGTGGGCGTCCACCTGCCAGACCAGGCTCCCCTCGCCCTGCGTCCACCCCGGCCCACCTACCACGGCCGCGGCTCTCGCCCCACCGCAGCCCTCCTGGGCTGCGCCCGGCCCGCCACTCCCAGCGCGCACCTGATGAGCACCGCCACCTGGCGCCGGCACCCGAGATCGCTGGGGAGGGTGGGGCCGGCCGAGCCCGCCGCCCGCCGCCCGGCGCCCGGCGCCCAGGCGCGGACGGCCGCTCACCTTGGGCAGCTCGCGCAGCTGGTTGGCGTCGAGGAGCAGCTCCTCCAGGCTGCGGCTGTAGCGGTAGATCTCCTCGGGCACGGCCTGCAGCGAGCAGTGCCGCTTGTCCACCGACTCCACGTGCCGGTTGCAGCGCCACAGCGGGATGCACTTGAGCATGGTGCGGGCGGGCGGGCGGGCGGGCGCGCGGCGCGGGCTCAGGCGCGGGCTCGGGCGGCGGGCTCGGCCGGGGGGCGGGGCTCGGCCCGCATGAGCGCCGGGGCCGGCCGGGCGGGGGAGGGGCGGGGCGGCGGCGGCGGCGGCGGCGGCGGCGCAGGGCCCGGGCCGCGCTCGGAACGCTCGGCCCGCGGCGGCCGGAGGCGGGGGTGAGGGTGTGCGTGGGGGGGGCGGAGAGGTGGGGGCCGGGGGCAGGGGTGGGCGCGCGGCCCGGCCGGCGCTCAGGCTCTGGGGAGGCGGCGGCCCCGCATCCCGGCCAGCCCGCTCGTCCGCCGCTGTGCCGCAGCCGGAACAGCCGCCGCTGCCCGCCGGACTGCCCCGCCGACAACCGCCGGCCGCCGCGCAGCCCGCCGGGAAGCCGAGGCCCGCCCTCGCCGCCCATCGCGGCCGGGAACTGCAACCCCCACAAGGCCCCGCGGTGCCGGCGCCTCCGAGAACCCGTAGCGGCCCCGCGCACAGCCTGCCGGGAAGCTCCGCTCCGTCCGCGGGCGCAAAGCACGGCGGGACGTGAGGTCCGCCTAAGAACCGGGCTCCCGCGGGCTGTCCAGAGGCTTCCTGGGGCCCCTCCGCCTCGGCCCCCTCCCTAGGGTCGGCCCCGCGACCCCCACCGCGGCCGGCCAGCCGCCCCCCAACCCGCTTCATCTACAGGCTTCTCCCAGCCCTCGGCGGGAACAGGGGATACCGGGGACGGGTGGGGTGGGGTGGGTTGCCCCCCGCCCTCCCCCGGCGGCAGGGGAGCCCCTGCGCCCTCTGCGGCCGGCCCTCCCGCCTCGCCCCGGCCCCCGGGAGCCCAGAAGCACAGGACCACTGCCACACAGGGATGTCGAGGGCCAACGGCATCTGCACCTTTATCCCCCCGCGGGCGGCTGGGCCTGAGACCCCAACACATCACTAGAAAACCCAGAGGAAACAAGGAGCAAGTGCAAGTCCAGGCAACCGGGCCAAGGTCACGCAGAAAGGTCACTGTTATCAAAACGCTCCTGGTCATACACTTCAGCCACCACCTTGCGGCCAGCAAACCAGCGCCCATTGAGGGCCTGGATAGCCTTGTGAGTCTCGGAGGCTATGGAAAACTCCACAAAAATCTTGACGATAATCTCCGCATCCTCCTCCTCGCCCTGCTTCTCCTGGTAGATGATGACGCGGTTGACAGCACCAAACTTGCCACACTCCTCGGTCACCTCCCCCTCCAGGTCGTCGTCGATGTCCTTGGGGTCCACCATGTTGCGCAGAACCATCACTGTGGACTGTGTGGGGGAGGGGACGGCTGAGTTATGGCTGGCTGGACCACTCCCCTCCCCCCCGGCCGCCCCACTGGCCCCGGCGGCGCACCTCCTGCTTGCGGAGCAGCTTCTGCATCACCATGTGGCGGGCGCTGCTGCCCGAGATGCTCATGTGCTCCTGCTCACTCAGCATCTCTGGCCGCTCTGACTCGGGAAACAGCTCCTCCTCTTCCTTCTCCTTCTTGGGCTCCAGGAGACCCAGCGTTGGAGGGCTGGCCAGGATGGGGTTTACCACTCCCACAGAGGGGATGGTGACCGGAATGGGAGGCCGGGCTGGGGTCACACCTGCAGCAAACCCACCAGGTCCAGCAGTCACACTCCCCCCATCTCTGCCCTTCCCAGGAAGGTGCCCCAGCACCACTCAGCCGTGACTGAGCAATGTCTTACCTGGGGCGCAGAGGGCCATGCCCAGAGGACTGGCAGGGGAAGGAGGGAAGGCCTGACCCACCCAGGCTCACCTGTGATGACTCCCGGGGCCTGGGCAGCCATGACAGCCTGGGGCAAAGCCCCCAGAGGCTGGGCCAGAGTCAGTGCAGGGGACACCAGTCCAGGCGTGGCCAGGGTACCCAGCACCGCTGCTCCAGCCACTGCTTCCTGCAACCCAGAAGGCCACCACACTCAGTCCCCAGTCTGGCTGCCTCCGCTCAAGACCACACAAAGAGCCAACCCCCAGAGGATGAGGGAGGGAGGAGCTGTCCCCACCAAGTGAACTATGCGACCGGACCCGCCCTCACCTGAGCTGTGATCTTGGCTGTGGCCGCAGCTGCAGCCACAGCAGCAGCAGGTGGGAGGCCCCCAGGTGTGGCAGGTGTAAGCAGGGGCATCGGGGGGGTGACAGCCTTGCCCACTCGCAAGTACTGGCCACCCAGATCAAAGAGGTTCATGGAAGACACGGCATCCTGGGACGACTGGGCCTTCTCATACTCTGCAGGGCAGGAACAGCAGTGAGGGTCAGCCACCGTGCCAGGTGGGCCCCGCCCTCACCACAGTCTCTCCGAACTCACCAATGAAACCATAACCTTTGTGCTTGCCAGTTGTAGGGTCCCGGGCGAGCGTGCAAGATTTGATCTTGCCAAAGGCCTCAAATACACTCTTGATGTCATCATCTGAAAGGTCCTGGTGCACAGAAGCCACATAGATGCGGTTGAAAGCTCGTGCCTCCTCAGCCAGCTGGTCTATGATAGGCTGGGCCTGCCCTATGTTGCTGGGTCTGCCCACCTGGGAGAGAGGCAGGGCACAAAGCCCCCAGTCAGCACAGGCCTGGCCACGTCAGCCTTCAGGCTTCTGGACAGGCTGCTCTGCCTCACCCGGCTGACTGAACAGAGCACACTGATGTGCCAGCCCTGAGGCCCACCTCCTTGGCCCTCACCTTAATGTTCCTGCCTCCCAGCATCACCGAGTTCATCTGCTCCAAGGCGAGCTGTGCGGCTTCTGGGACCTCATACTCCACAAAGGCAAAGCCCTGGGTGCAGGAACGTGCCGTGAGGCCAACAGAGCCCAAGGTGGGGAGGGTGGGGGGTGGGGAGGGGCAGACTAAAGCCCACCTTGTGCTTCATGGTGACAGAGTCCCAGGACATGTCAATGCTCTTGATGGGTCCAAAGGGAGCAAAAGCCTGGCGAATGGTGTCCTCCCCAAGCTCATAGTAGATGGAACCCACGTAGACCCGGCACATGATGGCCAGTGCCCGTTGCCGCTGAGCTGCCATCTGGAGCAGGACACAAGGGGAGAGAGAGCCACTGGCTTGTGAGGGGGTGGCAAGAGGCTGAGCAGCCCACTCCCCTCCTGGCCCACCTACCCAGCTCCGCTGTGGGGAGGGCTCCCCATGCGGCAGCACGGTGCAGGCTCCGCTCCTGTAGTCAGGGTAGCAGGGGTCAACAGGACCCTACCCCCAGGAAGGAAGGCCAGGCCCAAAGGCAGGACATGGACGCACCCCGGCCCATCCAGGTCCTGGGCAGACTGGCAGCAAAGCTGACAGGCGGTCGGGAGGCAGGGCTGCACACCCTCCCACCCTGCCCACCTTCCAGTCTGGGGGCCAGGTACCCCAAGCTGGGCTGGAAGATCCTCCTAGGGTCCTGGTCAAGTGCTCCGACGGAAGAGGGAAGGGGAAGCCATCCAAGCTGGAGGGACCCACTAGTGTGGAGGCAAGAGAGGGGGCAGAAGACAGGGCAGCTACTGCCCAGAAGAGAGCCCAGGGGAGGAGGTCAGGAGCCCAGATGGGGGCTCCCTGGAGAGAGAACAAAGAGCAGCTGCTCATGCAGGGCCAACTCAGGTAGGGGCTTAGCATTTTGCAAGCCCCCCAGTGTGTTGAACACCTGACAAAAAAGGGCTGGCTGGAGCTCACATCTGCAGCCACAAGACCCAGCCCCCAGGAACATCAGAAGGTGGCAGAGCTGCCAAAAAGAGAAGCCCCAGGGCTCCTTGGAGCAGGGAGATAACACGCCCAGCAGGCCCAGAGCTCTGCTTGGGCAAACACTGCCCCTGCACTGGGGCCAGCTTGGGCCAAGGGACCTCTCCACACCCTCAGGGATGGGCTTCCCACCCCTGCCACCTCTACACGATGTGCTAGGCAGGGGGGTTCCCACAGCCACACGCAGTGGGCCACCAGGAGGAGCTGAGCCCCGGGGAAGACACCATAGGCCCAGGACAGGCAAAGACAGGGCCCTGGCTCTAGCTTCTCCATGAACCGGGGCTCCCCTCACCCTCAAAGGGCTCCCATAACCGGAGACCAGTTTCCCTCTTTAGACACCAGCTGGCCTAGTGTATAGACCAGGCCTTCCCCTCCCTCAGAGAGGAACCTAAAAATAAGGTCCACATATCCCCCAAACTAGGAATCCTCCCCCCCAAATGGGACTGCCCTCCTCAAACTGGGCTCCCGACAAGTAGGCCTCAGGCCCCTGCTGAGACCAAGGACCACCAAAGGTGGAACTATGTCCCCTCTTGCACCAGGCACCCCAACATGAAACCATCTACCCCTCGGGTCAAAATTCCCCAAGATAGAGGAGTACGTCTCCTCTTCAGTGTGGGCTTCCCAACAGGTGGGCCAAGAGCCCTCTCCCTTACATCTCCCCACAGACAGCGGCTTTCCAGAGAGAACACTGGGTCTGTCTGGCCCTCAAAAACGGGGCCACATCTCCCCCGTTAGAGCAGCACACTCCGGGATGACCCCCAGGAAAGAGCCACGTTTCCCCCTCAGACTTCCTGGAGCGGGGCCTGGCCTCCTCCTCAGCTTGCCTCTGGGGGATGGAGGAGCATCTCCTTCCCAGACTCCTCCGCCCACGGCAGCCAAGGTCTCAGCTACCGCCTCTGCCTCCTCCCTGGCCCACTCTGGGCTCAGCCCAGCCCCTGCCTGCATGGCCCCTACACCTTGCTGACAGCCAGGCCCAGAGGACCAAGTCCTTGCCCTTCCCTCTGCTGCTTGCTTGGGACCCCCCAGCCCCCCACCCCATCCATCCATCCTCCCTCCAGGGTCTGATGGGGCCGTGAGTTAGGACTCTTCTCTCCTCGGGGGCCTGACCCCGACCCAGGAGCCCAGGCAGCCTGGAGACTGGCAGAGCTGGAGGCCCAGGCGCTGTGCCTTGTGCGTGAGGGCGACATGGGTGCAGGTGGGCCTGGCGTGGGCAGCTACCCTCCTGGCCTGCTGCCCTCTGCAGTTACCTGGCCGGTTAGTTTTAAGGCGGGACCTCAGAGCAGATGGAGGCCTCCCCAGGGGCGGTCCCGGGTGGGTGCCCGCCCACACCACTGGCCCCGCCACGCCTGGCGCTCTGCTGCGCTCGTCCCGAGCTGGCGGGCAGGGCCGGCTAGGGGAGCAAGGTCCCCAGCACGCGGGCTGCACTGCCCCCCTCTAGCCCTGACTAAGGACATGAGCCCCGGAAGAAGTGAGCATTTCTATTGACCGATTGCAAAGGTGAGAGAGGATCTCCAAAGCCCATTGTCACTGCTGCCATCTGAAAGACAGTAAAGACAGAGTTCAGTCTGTTGGAGCCGAGCAGTCTCCCGCTCTCGTCACACCTCACTCAGACAGCGGCAAGGCCCGGAGTCCCCGCCCTGCCAGGGAGGTCCGCCTGCCTTCCCAAACTGCCAGCCAACTGGCCAGCCGCCGGCACCTGCCCAGGGGGGCCTCAGAGCCCCAGGTGCCCCGCCCCACAGCCTGGCCGGCGGGGCAGAAGGAAGGGAGGGGGAGGAGGGAAGGAAGGGGAGGAGGAGAAGGAGCAGAAGGAGGAGGAGGAGGAGGAGGAGGAGGGTGCAGATGGAGCACAGTGAAGAGCCAGGGCATCTCCTGAGGGCTGGGCAGGGGGCAGGGGGCTCGAGGCCCAGGCACCTGTCAGCCTCGCCCTGGCCTCTTCCCCACAGCCATTGCTGCTTCTGGCCACAGGGCTAGAGCAGGGTGCCGCTGGAGGCGCCCCCAGCCTGTCCTCTCTGTCCTGGACCCCAGTTCAGGTGGTGTGGACTCACTGCAGGGGTCGGGGCCTGACGGCTCTTATCCGAGGCCGTGGGGATAGGGAGGAACGCCCCTACATGCTGCACCACCACATGGGTGCAGAGGCGACCTGAGGCGACAATTTCAAGTCCAAGAGGAGGAGCCAACTCAGGGTGCGGGCACAGCTACAGCGAAAGGGCGGGGAGGGGGCCATGGGCACTCAGCAGCTGGGTAAGGCTGGGCCACTCCTGCCTCACGGAGGAACCTGGGCGTCCCAAGAATGAGTCCTTGAGAAACAGAACCACAACACCTTGTGGGGATGGCCAAAGGCACAGGAGGAGGAAGAGAAGGAAGAGGAGGTGGAGGTGGCGGGGAGGGGCAGCGGAGGCTCCCCGGCCCAGGCGGGTGGGGCGGCCTCCAGCAGAGCCAGCGCCAGGCCAGAGGGTGGGGCCCTGGCGGCTCACCTGCAGGTTGGTGAGCTGCTGCTGCTGGTGCGCGATGGTCTGCTTCACCAGCACGCTCTTGATGCTCTGCTCCATGGCGTACTTCTTGGCCTGCGGGAGAAGGCGGTGAGGAGCACTGGGGGGCCCGGTCTGTGGGGAGATGCGCCTTCCTCCGCCGACTGCCCCCCCTCCATGCCCACAATTCCCCAGGAGGTACACTCTCACCTTCTGGAGGGCCTCTTGCTGCTCGGGCGTCAGAGGAGGCAGTCCCAGCTTCGCGGCTGTGCTCTGCCCGTTCTCCATCTTGATGGAGTCTGTCCCCTGGTGGTGGTGAGCAGGGAAGTCATTAAGAACAAGCTCAAGACCTCCCTCATATGGCCCCAGGAACCCCACCCCACCCATCTCCCCCTACAACTGCACAAGGCCTCCAGCCCAGCCCATTCCTAGGGACAGGCAGGTCTGCCCTTCTGCCATCCCTGTGGCTGTCCCTAGGCCTGTCTCTCTCAAGACCCATGCCACTGAGGAAGGCAGGTACCTTGGGGGCCTTGGGACAACCCAGAGCAGCTGCAGGGCCCAGGCCACAATGGCCTCCTCAGGAGCTATGAAGACAGGCAGCAAGTAGTAGAAGGGGCCCAGCTCTTGTAGCAAACCTGACCCCAGAACCTCAGTCCCCTGCCATGCAAGAGAGCTGGCCCTGGCCATCCTTTATAAGGAAAAGGGGCCATGGTTCGTTCTCTGGATGTGCAGGGACTCCTCATTCCCGGACTACCTGGCGTCCACCCCTGCCCCCACACCTTCCCGCAGCCCCAGCCAGGGTCACAGACTCCGCATCCCTGCTTGGGCGGAGTTCCAGGGATCAGTAAGGGAAAGGACCTCCCTCCCAGCACACCTCCATGCAGCGCCCCATCCCCCATCTCTGCACACTCTTGAGAACCTGGAGCTGCTCTCCCAGGCCACAACAGCCCAGAGGAGGGCTCCACCCAACCTCCACCAAACTCCTCCCTGGGCTGTGCTTAGCCCCCTGGGAAGAGAAGCCAGGAGCAGACAAACCACAGAGGAAAAGTGGACCTGCCAGCACCCTACCCAGGCGAGCATGGGGACCAGAAGATATTCTGGGGGATGGGGATAAAGCAGGCACAGCCCGCTGCAGACAAATCCAATGTAACTAGGATTAAGTTTACATTCCTTCTGTCAAAATTCATTTGTAAGCTGTTTGCAGGGTAAAGAATACAGCCATGCGAGCAAAAAGAAAAACACAGCCACAGGACCAAAGAGTGTGTGTCTCAGGGATCAGATCACACCTGCCTGCCCACGAGTTCAGAGGGCCTGGGGCTACCCAGCAACTGCAAGGACAGACCACCGCCAGCCCCCTCCAGAGGGGATGTTCTGCAACTCCCAGCACACAGCCTTAGGAGGGACGGCGGAGGAGGCAGATCCCCAATGCAGATGTGATGAGCAAGGACAGAGGCACGAAGGAGGCAGGAAGGGGCCAGCTGACCCAAACCCCAAGAACCACCATCCTGACGAGCCCAAGTACTGGGTTTCCTGCACAGGGTCAAAGGGCAGAAGGTGCCTGGAGGCCCCGACTCTGGTGACCCAGTCTGGCCCCTGAAGCTTGTCCTCTCCGCCCTCCCAGCTGGCCCCAAGCCCGGTTCTCTTTAGTGGGACAGAGGCCCTGAGAACCAGGGGCTCTGACTCTAGAGCAGGCTGTCACCATGGTAATCAATGCCAACCCCCTTCCAGCCCCTTAGAAACTTTTCAATCTCTTCTTTGTCTTGGTAAACAAAAGGCCCTTCTCCCATCAACCAGAGCAGGGGAGGGCTGGCTAGAGGGACGCCCTGGCCCCTTTGCCCATCTGCTTCAGCCCCCACAACTTCCCAGGATCCAGGATGCATACCATGGCCAGCCCTCCCCTGAGTGTGCTGGGGGGGCCACAGGAGGGCCCAGCTCCAACAGGCCCCCAGGCCACCTTGTTGAGCCCCCACTGGAACCGAATGGAGGCAGACGCTGCCATGGAAAAGCACAAAGAACCTTATTACCCAGCAACAAGGCCTGGCTCCACCTCCTATAGGACAAGCTCCCAAGGGTGAAACAACCAGAGCAGGACAAGATCTGCCCATGCCCCCTCTGAAGCCTGGCCCAAGTCCCACGCAGACCCCGTGCTCTGACTTGCACGTTATTCTGCTTTGTTGTTTTATTTAAATTCGAGATTTCAAATGAAAATCTGTGTTTCTGGCTCTTAATACCCATCACATTCTGAAACAGCATGGCTGCCATCTTGTAGGACACGGACGACTAACAACTTACATGGCTCAGGTTCAGCCCCACCTGACCACCGTCACTATCTGCCCAAAGTCTGAAGACACACGAGGCTGCGAGCCACCACAGAAGCAGGTGGGCGCTACAGGGAGAGGCGGGAGCCGGGCCGGAGGCTGGGCGGTAAGGGAGCAAGACGGGCACTCCACCCAGAAGGCAGAGAAGAGTCCCTAGGGCTCCTCCCACCCCACCCGCATCTCTCTGGGCCCAGGGACACGCAGGCGGGCGGGCAGGCAGGCAGGCAGACAGGTGGGCGGGCGGGCCTGAGGGAAAGGATGCTTAAGGTCAGTACCTGTGGAGGTTTCCATTTGTCTCCCGCTGCCACCACTGCCGCCGCCGCCGGCTCGGACCCCCCTCCTTGCTGGCCATTGACCTGCTGCAGGCAGGAAGGAGATGTTGTAATGGACAGTCATGAGATCCACCCGCCCCGGCCCTCTCTCCCCTTCCCTAGCTAAGGGCTAAGTGCCCATGGACGAGAAAGAGAGGCCAGCAGGGGCATCGGAAGAGCCCAGCTCTGGCTTGGCCCCTAACATCCCACAATATCCACCCGCCCCACCCATTCTTCCAGGACACCTGCAGCTGACCAGGGCTCTGGCACAAGGGGCTGCCCTGGCAGAATCTAAGGTAGCCTGGAGTTGGCAAGGAGTCATCAGGAAAGGACAGGACAGAGGGTAAGAGAGCTCCTGCCCCATGCCAAGGAAAGGCATCCTCCCCTGGGCCTAAACCTGCCCCCTGGCCACAGAGCTGAGGTCCTAAAAGATCAGTTCCTTTCCTGCCAGCAGGCTGGGCCAGGCCAGACAGGATGACAAGGGGCACAGCTGGCCATCTCCCCTCATCCCCTCCTGAGGCAGACAGGGAAACCTCTCTAGCAACCCCCCCCCGCCCCCCCACACACGGCTCAGCATCAGTCCCAATGCCTTCCACAGGCTCTGGTCAAGCCCACACCCCAAGCCCCTCCTGAAGACACCTCTGAGGAGGGCTGCCCTCTGAATGACAGGGCCAGGCAGGTGGTCTGTACGCACAAGTCTCCCTCCCCCAGCAGTCAAACTGTCCAGGGCTGGCAGCTGAGAGCCTGGCCATACCCCACACCGAGGGGCCGTGGAGCCACTGCTATGCAGAGCCTAATGGAAGGAACAGCTCCCAGCTCAGCTTAGCAGGATGGCAGGAGCAAAGACAGGCCAAGGGCAGGAGGTGGGCAATGTCGTGGGCAATGTCATGGGGGACTTGGTAAAAGGGCCCTGAGACCTACTCCACCTTCTCAGGGGCTACACAGCAGGAACTGAGAGCAGAATACACTTTCCCCACTCCCATCTTGCAAGACCTACCGATGTATAGGAACACAGGGGACAGCCATACCCACCCTTGTAGCCCTGTGCACAAAGCCAGAGGCTAGGCTGACTTGGTCAGAGCGTGTCTCAGGCTCTCTAGCCCCAAAGGAGATAGCAACACAAGCCTGTCTGTGCTAGAGACGTGGCCAGTGGGCACAGAACCTGTGGCTAACGCCCAAGCAGAGACTTGGCTGAAGTTGCTCTGAACTCAGCACCACTGTTTCTTAGGGAAGAGAGAACCAAAGGACATGGGTCCCCCCCGAGTGGGTGTATGGCAGCTGGGGAGAGGGTCAGTGTCTGGCTTGCCTCAAGTCCCCTGGCACCCCGGGAGCACATCCGGAGCAGAGGCTGCCCTCTCAAGGCTCACAGCAAGAGATCACTTCAGGTCTGGGGAAGCAATCCAGTCCCTTGACCCATGAACAGAGCCAACTTGAGGGCACATTTGTAAACAACTTCCTGCTCTCCCAAATTAACGTGACAACCAACACAGGAAACAGGACATTGCTGAGAGCAGAACACAACTCAAAAGAGACTTCTCCGGAAAAATCAGTCCAGGAGAGAATGCCACACAGGACATCCCCATCGCCTACAAAGAAACCAAGCTCCTCGTCCCACAGAGCCTCAGCTTCTGTTCTAAGCAGATACTTAAAAAACTTGGAGAAAACTGCTATTTCTTATCACAGTTGGTCATATGCTGTCACCTTGTGGCAATGAAAATAGGAGGCTTTGTGGTCACAAAGCTCCCCAGCACCAGGCAGCAGTGCCTCAAGGGGTGAGCAGTGCCCTCTGGGAGGCAACGCAGCCCAGGAGTCTGGGACCCAAACTCCAGCACTGCCCAACAGCCCAGGACAAAGAGGATCATTTCCATTAGAAAACCAGAAAAGTTAAGTAATTACTTAACATTTCCAGGTTTCTGGCTCTTCAGGCCTGTGTCCTGGGGCTGGCATGAAAATTCAGTGAGTCACTCCAGGTAAAGTACTTCAGATTATCCATGCACAAGACCAGCATGCCGCAAATCTTAGTGATTATTAGCATCGGTGTTAACACCCAGAGTCCAATCCCCAAAGCAGAACCGTTGCAGTATGCTTTCCGTCTGTTCCAGTCCTCTTCACGTGGTGCCCTGCTCTCTACCAGATGGCTAGGCTCTGTGCTGGGCACTTTGGATGCAGCAAAAACAAGACGAGACACATGCCAACTGGCACCTACATAAGAGGACTTCTGTGGTTCATGAGCACTAAGAAGAAAATCAAGCACAAGATGCAAAGAAAGGGACTGAGGCACACTGGGCGTAGGCAGCCAGGGAGGCCTAGGAGGTAGCATGCACACCAGGGTCTTCAGGAGGAAGAGAGAGGGACGGTGCCCCCAGGGAAGGCAGAGGGTCTGGTGCCCCTGCTAGATGGAACCCAAGGGTAACGGCCCCAAGCAGGAGTGAGTCCAGCTGCCAAAGGTAGGGAAGAATGGTCTGGTAAGTCAGACACACACTATGCCACCAGAAGACTATGTCCCTGATAGGAAGGGGCTGAGGCCTGTTTCCGCAGCCACCGGGTGGAAGGCTCTTCTGCATCCGTCTGTGTCCTTCCTTACCAGATCACTATCAGCCAAGTTCAGTGCCACTCTATCCTCCCAGAAGAGCTGAAGCCACACCTTAGGACAGCAACCAGCACTGTTCAGCATGCACGGACCACAAGACAGAACAGGCTCTCACTACGCCCAGCTAAGACGACAAGAAAACAGGCTGCCTAGAAATCTGTCCACTGAACAGGTTAGAAGAGGAACGTATCAAGCCACAGCCTGGAACTCACTCCCAGAATTTGACATAAGCCTGGATCTTTACAGCTTCCACGTGTTAACCTCTCGAGAGAATTCAACGGGCAACAAAGAGCCCTACTGAAAACCCCAGCGTACAGGGTTCAGACTCTCTGCCCACACCCCCCTCCACCGTGATGCACGGGTCTGGCACCGTGCCACAGTAGAGCTAGGCCAGCTCATCCCTCAGTCTCCAGAGGTACAGGGTGCTGCTAGCTACAGCTTTGAGCAGCCACCAAGGCCGGGGCTTGGTGTTCACACGGCCCTAGGACGCTCAGGGGAGACCAATCACCCACTCTCATTGGCTTCTCTTCCTCCTCCACATTCCATATGTCCCCAGGGGTCGGGGTCCCTGTCTCCAAGCTTCCCTCTCCGTCACTGTCCAGTCCTAACCGCTCTCTGGGACAGTAACCAAGTCCTCCACCCGCCTCTCTTTTCTAACTTCCCTCTCACAAAGGTCACTTGCTCCTGTGACTTCAACCGGAAACAAGATGGGGTAGAAAAAGGGGAGCCGATCTGAAAATCACCCAGAGGGCTCCCCTCACAAGCAGGGGCCTCTCTCCCCCTGGGAGGCAGTTCCTGCCCCAGTGACATGGGTCCCGCCTCCCTGCCTGGGTGTCAGCCCCCAGCTCAGGGCCTGGCCAAGGCCTAGCTCCAGCCTAAGCATACCCCCTGACCCCCAAATGTCTCCCCTCTCCACCCAGCCTGCAGCCACCTGCAAACGTTGCCTTCTCGGACAGGCTTCACGGTGCCACTCTGGGTATGCGCTGGTGGCACGGTAAGTAAAGGGAGGGTCAGTGATGCCATGAAGGGCCCAGGAGAACAGACGCTCATCTGAGCGGAGGACGGAGGCAAAGGGCCAAGGGAGACTTCACCAGGGGAGCGTGGTGTGTGCAAGGGTTCTCCGCCTCCGCTGCGCACTCGATGCACGAAACAGTAGCTGAGCACTGAGCAGGGGAGGGAGGGGGTCCCTCCTCTGGGTGCCCACAACACCCTGAGCGCAGGGCCCTGGGGCTCGCAGTCCACGGGCTCCGTGCCCACCAGACCCCCGATCAGGGCGGGGACTGCCTCCGGTTCCCCGTTGTGCCCCAACACACTGCGCTCGAGCAACGCGTGCTCAGACAGCACGTCCCTCGTTCCTAAGGCCGGACGGAGTCCCTGTGAGCTGGTGAGCCCTTCTCCGCAGCCCCAGCTGGGGTGCAAGCCGCCGAGGCCGCCACCCTGCCCAGCGGGCGAGACTCCTTCCCGCGGGCCCCGCACGCCCGGCCGAGCAGGGACGCCTTCGCTCCGGGAGCCCCGCCGTCAAGTCCGGGCTGCAGGCGCACCCGAGGGCAGCACAGTGCGACGGCCGCCCGGCTCCGCTCCGAGGCCGCTCGCCTCGGGCGGGCCGGCCGCACCCCGACGGGGCCGCGCGACGCCGGCCGCCGGAAGCCGCGGCCCGCGAGCCGGAAGCTGAGGCCGCAGGCCGGCCCCCCTCGCGCCCGCCCCGCCCCCGCCTCTCGCGACTAAGAGCCGCGGGGGCCCGGGAGGACCGCCGCGTCTCCGAGGGGCCTTCGGCGCCCTGGCCGGGCCGGCGACCCACTCCCGCCAGCTGAGCGGCGGCCCACGGTCACGGGCGCCTCACTTACGAGAGCTATGGTCGCCGTCGCCATCTTGCGTCCGTCGCGGCCGCCGCGCGCGCCACACGCTCCTGCTCCCTCCGCGGTCTCGCGCGATCTGGGCGCCGGCGGAAGCGCCCGAAGGAGGACGGAAGTCTCGCGATAAAAGCCCCTTTGCCTTCGACTGGGGGCGGGGAGAGAGAGGAATGCGCTTCCGGCGTGGGGGGGACAGTTAAGGCTCCGAGGCGGAGCGGACGGAAGGGGAGGGGGCGGCGGTGTGCGCCGCGCGCCCCGCCTCCGCGGTGCTGAGTGTGCCTTGCCTCCTCGCCGGCCTTCCCCTTAGTGGGCGGAGGGCCGGCCCGCCTCGGTTTGTCTCCGTTAGCCCCTCGCTCCACCCTCCTGCCCCGCTCTGGCCGCTGCTCCACTTCCCTGCCTCCCCGCTCGCACGTAAGGGGCAGGGCAGGGGAAGGTCGGATCCCGTCCGGCGGCGAAGAACTCCCATCTGCCCGAAAGACCCTGTTGAGAGAGCGATGAAGAGTGGCCTCCTTTCGGAGTCAGACTCCAAGTTGCTTCTTCGCGTCGTGCCCTCTGGAGTCGCGGTGTGCCTACCACTGGATGGTGGGCGCTCGTGTAATTAGCGTTCTCTTTCCTAGTGACTCGTAAAACAGTAGTGCGTCTTGAAAATGATGGCGTCCTGGATTCAATGATCTACAGTCGGTAGACCCGGAATTCAAGACAGGCTTGTGAGCCAATTCAGTGGAGAGGGCCTGCACCCAGGGTCCCCTGAGTCCTCCCAACTATTTTTTAAAGGCTCCAGGCACCCATCATGGCGTTGAGCTGCCCTGGACGTCTGCCACATGTCACACCCAGCCCCAAGACCCTAACTCAATGAAACCGCATCTGCAAGCTCGGGCAGTGAGAGTGTCAGTCCAGCAACCTCAGCCTGCCCGAGGCAACAAAGTGTCTTTCCCAGTTAGGCAGGTCCCTTCTCAACCCTGGGAGGGTTCAAAGTAAAATGCAGACACCTCTAGTTAAACATGGCAGAATATTTTCTTCACATCCCTCCCCTCTAAAATGATAGGAAAAGAGTTTTGTAAAGGCACAGAAGTGAAATATTGTGCAAATGGAGAAAGGTGGACAATGGGATCAGCTTTAGCTGACTGGAGGTTAGTGTCCGAGGGGTTGTGTGTGAAAATGTAGTTGGAAAAAGGAGACCCCACACCTCTATCCCTACTGGCAGTGGCTAGGCTCTCAGACCAGGGTCCTATTCCCAAAGTCAGGGAGTTAATGAGATTCTTGCCCTTTTCCCACCTCCACCCAGCTCCAAGTCTAGGCCCCAGCCACCCATGTGCCACCCATGAACCTCAGAGCTCCTCTCTGCAGCAGCTCCTGGCTCAAAAGAAGACTGGCAGCTGGAGGGTGCTCAGGAGAATGGCCTGGCTAGATCCCTGGCCTCAAAACTCACCAGGCAATAAGCCCCACCAGTAAGATACCACTCCTAAGAGCAACTGGGCAGCCCAGGATCACCAGACACCTAAGGAGGAGGAAGACAAAAACGGAAAAGGGAAAGGGACTCAGAAGACAATAAAGCAAGAAGAAAAGCTAAAACCATATCCTCAGAGATATTAGAGAGGATGTTGCATCCAAAGTCAAAACAATATGTTGCACACCTGAAACTAATAAAACACTATATTTTAACTGTCTGGGAGTAAGATAAAAACTTCAAAGACCAAAATCAAGAACAAGAGGCCATAAAGAAAGAACATTCAGCAAATGAGAAAGAGTGCTTACGAATTAAAAATAGAGGAAAATGAACAATTAATGGAGGGTTGAAAGATACAATTGAAATCTTCCAGAATGTATAAAACAAAACCTGATAGGTAGAGAAGAGAAAACATAATCAATCACACTGAGCAGTATTCTCTAGTGCTTAGAACTGGCCTGGTACCTCACCAGTCTCCATAACAGAGGGGGACGGATGAAGTGGTGAATGGGCTGGGACTTGCCACCACCACTGCAGGGGGTAGGGGCACAAGCACCACTTTCTGGTAGCAGCTTCCCCTATGAAATTTGACAGTGATATATAAGGGATTCAGAGTGCTTGTGTGCTGGGCACTGTTCTCATTACCTTACAAACGTTACCTGTGTGATCTTTACAACAATTCCATGGAGTGGGTACTGTTGTTATCCCATTTTTACAGACGAGGAAGTAGGGGCACAATATCACACAGCAGGAAGCAGCAGGATGTCCCAGAGCCTATGCCCTTAACTACTGCATATTGTGCCTCTCAAAAGATAATTCCAACATCTAAATAATAAAAGTTCCACGAAATAAGGAGAGGGGAAAATAAGCAAAAACAAACAAACCCTCCCCCCCAGAAACAAAAAACAAAACAAACAAAAAATGCCCCACACAAAGAAAATTTCCTAGAACTGAAGGGTTGGGATCTCTGGACAATAGATGAAAGAGAAGTTTTTAATCCAGAAACATCATTTCCAAAGGGAGAGAGGGAGAGGAAGAGGAAGAGAGAGGGAGGGAAATCACAAAGGGTTAGAATTCAGAAAGGCATGGGAAGTCTTGGGACTAGAAGAAAATCACATGATACCCTCAAAATCCTGGGAAGAAATAGTTTTCAACTTAAGCAAACTTTTGTGCCTAGCTACACTAACAAGCAGGTGTAAGAGTAGACTAAGGACAAATAGGCAGACTTCATAACTTCCCATGCATCCTCTCTCAGGAAACTTGGAGGATGTTCTTCCTCAAACAAAGGGTGAATGAAGGAAGGGGAAAGCGAGGGATCGAGTAAAAGGAGAAAAGAGGTGCTCCAGGATGCTGGTGAAGGAGGAACTCGTGCTGACAGCTGGGCCACAGGCCCCAAAATAAGCAGCTTGGGGCAGAGAGCTGTTATAGTGGGGGCTCTGGGAAAGATGAAACTGAGCAGTCAATTGTGCAATGAATCTCAAGTATTGAGAGGTTCACACTTCTGCAGGAGAATCTAAGAATGAATTAATACATGTATAGAAAACTAAGCAAACAAAAAAGAAAGGCAATTATTAACTCCAGGCAAAACAAAAAGTTGTGCAAGAAAGTAAATAAAACCCTAGGACACCTTGTTCTCTGCTAAGACCTGCAGTAATGAAGCTGTAATAATACACACCACACTGGGATGATGCTGGGTCAGGAAACTGAGGCCAGTGACCCGCCCCCCCCCTTCTCCAAGGACACCAGCAGGGGACACCTTATGCAGAAAAACCAATAAAAAGCAGTAAAAGCATGTGTGGTTTGTGAAAGATGGATTTTACATGCCTGAAGAAATAGCTAAGGGTTAAATCTGGGAAGGATCAAGTGCTGGAGACTGCATTGATCATTTATTGTTGGCTTTAAAAAAACCCATTCCACTTTTAAAATGATATGTATATAACTTTGAAAAGATAAAAGTTAAAATGAAAACCTCAACATAAGCATGATTAAATGAAGCAATGATTGTATTGATACTTTTGAGTTCAGTTTAATCATGGGTACAATCTATTATGCATTTGACACTCAAATTGTTTAAGATAGCATCAGGATTTCCAACTAGACTTGTATGTTATTGCAGATTTGTTATTTTAAGTTGAAAGAGTAACTTTGTAGAGTATCGAGATGTTTAAGACAACTTGAGATTCATTATGTTTGTACGTTTGATTTATTTGATACACCTTGGTAATTTTGTTTTGGCTTTTGGTTAGGGTAATGTAGTAGGTGGAAAAATGATACCCTCTCTCCAGGATGTCCATGCCCTAACCCCCAGAACCTGTGAATGTTACTTTATATGGCAAAAGGGATTTTGTAGATATGATTAAGGAACTTGCGATGGATTATTCAGGTGGACCCAACCTAATTACATGAAGCTTTCCTGGCTGCAGAAAACCACAAATGGTTCATGAGAAAGACTCTACCGGCTGTTGTTGGCTTTGAAGATAGAGGATGAGTACATGAGCCAAAGAATGGCGGTGCCTGTAGAAGCCAAAAATGACCTTCAGTTTATAGCAGGCAAGAAGATGGGGATCTTGGCCCTACTGTTGCAAGGAAATTAATTCTTGGCCAGTGCCCATGCCCATGCCATGCCTGACACCTGCAGGCCAACAACCTGAAGGAGTAGAATATGGAAACCTAGGAAATAGTTCTAGGCTCACCTAGAACCTCCAGAAAGGAATGCAGCCTTGCTAACACCTTGAGTTTAGTCTGGTGAGACCTGTACCAGATTTTTGACCTGCAGAACTACAATAAATTTGTGGTGTTTTAAGCCACTAAGTTTGTGGTAAATTCTTATAGCAACAAGAGAAGTAACACAGTGGTGAGCTTTCCTGGTTTGACAATAAGAAATACTTCAAAAGAAACCTGAATGCACTAAGTTTATACATGCAATTTAAAATACTGAAGAACGTTTAACTCAATTTGAAGATGGAGGGGAGGTGGTCCAGGAGAAAAGAGGCTAGGGCAATGAGGGGTGGGAGGGAGTTGAGTGGGAGAGACAGGGAGTCAGGGGCTGATATCCTCAGGACTTGGGAGGCAGCTGCCACAGAAGGGGGTGAGTGATGTTACATGGGGGGTGGTGAATTTGAGAGGAGGCACATCGAGGAGCAAGGAGGATGCCTAAACCCAACCCCTCCAGGCCCAGGAACGTAGGAGAGAAAATAGCCCTATGGAGAGGGCTGCAGGGGCCAGAACAGTCTGCAGAGGGGGTGGCAGGTCCCTGTCCCAGAGCAGTGGAAAGTCAGCAAAGGGCTCCAAGATGGGTCTGCACTGGGCAGGGGCTGGAGGGCTGTGCAGGAGCCGTGTCAGGCTGGGGACTCTTGAAGTGTCTCTGCCATCTGCTTCTCCTGCCAGGTCGTGGACCTGCCTAGTGCCCAGCATCGTGCCTGATGCTTGCAGGTATGGTACCACTGGCTTAATGTGGGGGTTCCCGGTGTGGGTCTGTGGTTCCAACAGGGTCTGGAGCATTTCCCTGGGCAGGCATCTGTCCAGGACTGATTCCCCACCCCCACACTCTGGCTCCCTGCAGGGCAGCCTCCCCCATGCTGAAGGCTCAATCACTGACCAGATATCTTGGGGTGGGGGAGAACTCTTAGCCAGGAAATAGACGATACGGGAAGGGACTGCGAGTTGTGGAAGCTGGCTAGGTGGGGGAATCCTGATCCTAAGGACATGTGGGGCCTAACTACTCCCCTGACTCCCAACCCAGGCTCCTTCACCCCTGATGGGCCCCAAACCCACCCACCCCCCACCCCCCACCCCCCACCCCCCACCCCACTCCAGGGCCTCCTTGAAAGCTGTGGAAGGCAGAAGTTCCTCACTAGCAGGCATTTGGTCATCAGCCCCAAGCGTGTAAGCAGAGGTCAGCCCCTGGTCCCCTGAGCCCTGGACCAATGCTGAGTTTCCCCATGTGGGTGGCCAGGGCTGGTCCCTGGGGGCTGGGGTGCGAGGTCACGGCTGAGCTCCGAGGTACTTGAGGAAGGTGCTTTCCAGGAAGGCAGCCAGCTTGGTCCGGTCATCCTGCAGGGTGGGAGGGAGGCATGGGGTGACAGGGGCGCAGACTCTGCTGTGTCCCCCTTGCAGCTCGGCTGGGTCAGCCCACACACCTCGTGAACGAAGCCATAGTGTACCAGCTCGGTGGCAAGGTCCTGGGCACTGTCGGCTGCAGCAGGAGCACGGGCAGGGGCAGGACAGAGATGTGAGGCCACCGCCTGGGCCCACACCTGCACCCGTCCCTGCCTGGGTCCCCGCCTGGCCTACTTGGGAGCAGGTCATAAGTGAGCTGCCGGTGCAGCCGGTCCTCCAGCACCAGAAGCAGAGTAAGCTGCGGAGGCAGGGGGGCGTGGTTGGCTCCCAGAGTCCCCCAGCCCCCCCACTGCTTCCCCTCCCTTGCTCCTCTGTGGGCCCCAACCCCTGCCCTGCTCACATGCCAGCGGGCCTTGTCCTCGCTCCTCTCCAGGTTGCACTGCATCTGGATCACCTGGGGATAGGGATTGACCAAGGTCACCCACACAGGCTGGACCTCAGCAGCTGAGCAGTAAGAGCAGAGGCCGCCTCAGGGGGCAGAAGGAACGGTAAGGACCGGAAATGGGGGTAAGTCTCTAAGGAGAGCCTAAGAAGCACATTCACTACCAGCAGCCTGGCAAGTTAAGGAAAACTTCCAGAAGAGTAGACACTGAGTCTGGGCACTGAAGGATAAACAGAGTTCTCACAGGTGGGGAGAAGACCTGAACAAGGAGAGAGCTGTGAGAAGTGGTGGAAGGGAGGGGTCAGCGGGAAAAGGGGCAGAGGCCTGGGACGCCAGCCACGCCAGGCCTCAGAACACCCGGGGGGCAGCTGAGGACCTCCACCATCCCTGTGGGCACCTTTAGCTGTTAGGACATGAATCCTGGTTGCACCGTGGAGGGAAACCAGGAGGAAGGAGGCTAGGTTGGGGGCTGGTTCACCATCCAGGTAGGAAAGGGGGGTGGCCTAGATCGGGGTGGAGACCACAGAGACATACCCAAGCCCAAAGCCAGAGCCTCTGGAACCCAGTAGGCATGGACGTGGAAAGGGACAGAGGGGCTGAGGCTGATCAGGGCAGGCCCCTGGCCAGGAGGGAGCCTTACAGGAGGAGAGATTGGGGGAAACACGATGTCTGGGAGGCCGTGGAGGAGACACCAGGACACGAACGTCAGGGAACCAGCCAAGGGCGGGAGATCAGAGAGGCCTGGGGCAGGCGAGATTCTCCGATGAAGGCTGCCTGGAGCACAGCACGATGAGGGCAGGGCTGGGGGTCAGGCAGCAAGGGAGGGGGGAGGGGTCTGCAGGGGGCAAGGAGCCTCTGAAAAGGGGATATCTTAGCTTGTCCTACCATCTCCTATGCCCCCATCAGGGTCAGCCAGGACCTGTTTCTGGCAGCCTGGAGGAGTGCTGGGCTGGGGGGCACTCAAAGCCCCTGGCAAGAGACCCCTCTGGGCTACGGACAGGCCTGCAGATGGGCACAGTGCAGCAGGAGCAGGGGCTCACCTTCCTGGTCTCCGAGTCAAAAGGTTCTGGCGTCGGGGTCTTGGCCTTCTGGGCCTCCTCAGGGGGTGGGGCCAGCACACGGGGCAGCCCCAGGGGCCGAGCCGCCGCAAAGTTCATCAGCGGGTAGATCCCATTCCTGAGGATACACTGGGGTGGCTAGGGGCTCAGGCCTGGTAGCCACCGGTTCCCCAAACTCACGGCAGCTCTCACCTGACATCCTCCAGGAATTTGTCGAGCTCCAAGCAGGAGACCTCCGAGTACCTGGCACAGGTGTGAGAAGCACGTGAGGGGGGCCAGCCGGCCCGCCCCACCAGTGGGGCAGGACTGGGTGGGGGCTGGCCATGTGGAGAGGAGAGGCCTCTGGGCACCCCTCGCTCACCGCCACTGCAGCGGGGGCCGGGGCGGCCGGGGGATCTCTGCCAGGACTGCGTGCAGGTCCACTGCCTTGGTTTTTTCCTCCACCACATTCTCGGGCATGAGGTCTGCAGGCCGCAGGAGCACTCAGGGTCCTGAAGGGGGCCCTTTCACACCCCGCCCCCAGGCCCTTGGCCCGCCCCCAGACCACGGGCCTCTCACATTGGTGCTGGATGAAGCAGTGAGCTGCCAGGAGCTTCAGCGAGTGCACTTCGAAGAGTACGCGGTGGAAGAGGAGGTTGTGGGCAGAGGGCCGATGGCTGGGGTCCCGGGCCAGGCAGGAGAGGATGAACTCCTGGGGGCGTGGAGAGGAGAGGCCGAAGTGGGTGCAGTGTGAGGAGAGGAGGCCCCTGAAGTCCCCAGACCCCTAGGGTCCAGTCCTTACGGGAGTCTTCTTGCAGGAACGGGCGTAGGGAGAGGTATACTGTTAGCAGCCAAGCTGGGACCTGATTCTACAAGTAGGACAATCAGGCCCTGGGCCCAGAACTTGCCATTCTCTACTTCCTGTAACCCTCACAGAAATCGTAGGGGATCACTGTCGTCATCCGCAGTTCACAGATGAAGCCTGCACTGTGGAGGGAGGACTGAAGCCCCCGCCCTGCGGTCCCGGCAGGGGGAGGAGGGGTGCTGGGCAGAGGGCCAGCAGATCAGCCCAGGCTCCTGGAGGTCCATGTAGCCCAGCATAAACCCGCCTACCCACAGATCGCTATTTTGGTTGCCTCAGCTCAGACCCAGCTCCGGAGATGACCTGATGGGTCCATACCCCGCCCCACATACATGTCCTCTGCTGCCCCTCACGTCTATTCTGGCTTCACTTCTCACCAGCCCCATCCAGTCCCCATCACTTCTGACCCTGATCCCCAGAGGCCACGTGATCAAACCAGACAGCCTAGAGAGACTGTGGACACAGCCTCCATCCCACCCTCCCTTTGCCTCCTCCCCACCACGCCCCCGACATAAGCTGGGGCCACACCGCCTCTAGCTGGCTTCCTGGAGCTTAAAGGCAGGGACGTGGAGTGGAACACTGCCTCTCCAAACCTCTTTCTCGTCTCCAAAACAAGCGTAACACTAGCGCTCACAGATGGAGTACCTCTCTGGCCTCTCCTTCCTTAGAAAGACACTTAGGGCCTGCAGGCCTGAAACCCAACATGCACCGCGGGTAAGGCCCTCCTTGTGGGTAGGCCTTGCTGCAGTGGGGCTGACACATCCCTCCACGGCACTGAGCCGCTGCACCTCCGGGCCCATCCCTGCACCACACTGGCCCTACCTGGGACTCCTGAGAGCCAGCCGGGAGGGGCAAGGCCAGCTGCTTACCCGCATGTTGGGGTCGCTCAGTGAGTGCCTGGCACGAGTTATGGCCTCTTCTGTGACCCGGGTGTCCCCATTGGCTTGGATCTCCAGCACAGCCATCTAGGAGGCAGGGCCAGGTCAGGCATGGAGAAGAGATGCAGGGTGAGCTAGCTGGGAGGCCATGAGGCCATTGGGCTAGTACCTCCAGGGCACACATGCCAAAGGAGAAGATGTCCACGGCAGTGCCATCAGCAACCTCTAAAAGGGGGAGAGCAAGTCAGGCTGGGGAGGAAAGAGGCGGCAACAGCAGACGCTTCCGGACTCAGGACTCACCACCATACTCTGGCGGGAAAAAGTGCAGGTTCCGTAGCTCCTCACGCTCGGCACGGATCGGGCTTCGGAGATCGTCCGGGAGCGCTGGGGAGAGGGCAGAGGATGAGCAGACTGGACGTGTCCGCGCCCTCCACCCGCCTTGAGTCCCCACGCACCATTGGAGAAGATGCGGTGCCACACTGCCCGGCCACCACGGGGAGAAAGAGTAGGCGTCAGTGTGATGGGGCGCTGGGCGTCCTCTGCCCACGGTTTCCGGCAGCCCCCCCCGCCCCGCCAACCCCCTTCCAACCCTGCCAGCACCAGAGCCAATCTTGATGAGGCCATTGTGCTGTATGAAGATGGTATCACTGGTCAGGTTCCCGTGGATGATGGGGGGACTGCAGGCGTGTAGAAAGCTGAAGGAGGGAAGGAGAGTAGGTGTGGTCAGGTCAGGGGGCACTGCGGGCATAGGGGCGTGGCAAGGGCAAGCCCAGGCCCTCACCTGAGCGCAGACAGGATCTGCGTGCACCAGCGCTTCCAGGCCTGGTGGTGGACAGACTCCATCGGACCGGTGTGAAGAGGCGGCTGGGCCTGGGGTGCCCACCCTACACCCCCACCTCGCATCCCTGACCCGGCCCCAGCCCAGTCCTGTTCCCGGAGCTGCCCCTCACCCACATCCCCAATGCAGCCCCAGCCCACTCCCCATACCCGCGCGTTCATGGCCTTGTGGTTTTTCTTGGTCTTTTTGAGGAACTGCTTGAGACTGCCCGATGACACGTACTCTGTGATGAAGATGACCTGCGGAGCGGACGGGCTCCGCCAACTACAGGTGGGTCCCTGCCACCACCCCCACGCCCACCCCAGCTGTGGCCCCGTCCCACCCTGCGGTGTGCCTGTGCCCATGGCTCACCCGCGCCCGGGCTTCTGAGGCATCCAGCCAGTATTTGTGCAGCTTGACAATGTTGGGGTGGTCTACCAGCACCAGCTGCTCAAACATGGTCTGGATCTTCTCCTGGGAAGGGGGGTGCGGTCACGGGGTGGGGGTGGGGGTGGGGCGCGGTCGCTCAAGGGGTGGGCAGGCCTCACCTCATGGGCCGCGAAGGCCTTCCTATCCCCGAAGTGCAACTCATTCCACACCACCTCCACCCCCTCCTCTGTGTCCATGGCCAGGAAGGTGCTCTGGACCCCTGGCATGTTCCCCTGGTTCACCTGGCAGTGGGGGTGGGGGATATGAGTGTGCTGATACGTGTCAGGAGACAGAGTGGGGGCTTGGTCTCTAGGCACATCCTTGGAGGGGAGAGCTAGCATGGGATGCTGGCCCTGACCCCCTCTGGGGGCCTGGAGGAGGGTGGGCCTCTACTAGCCAAGTAGTGGTATCCAAGGGCTGGGCTGAGGGGCTTTGGAGCAGGTTTCAGGGGATTCAGGATGGTCTTCATGGGGCTAGTAGCTGGTCTGGTCGCAGAGGCATGGGGAGGTGATCCTGGGAGGAGACTGGACCCTAGGGAACTGGGGGTCCCTCAGCAGGGCGTGGGGACCAGGCCAAAGGGGTCCAAGGGCCGGCCAATTAGGGGGGCTGCCTGCGCGAGGCCGCGGAGAGATTTTTGGCCTCCTGGCTTGCCCATGGCCCCGCGTGGCCTCCTCCGCCCCTCCGCCAGAGGTGGGCGGCGACCACCCTCTCCGTCCCCCCTCCCCCCCCCCCCGCCCGGCCGTGCCCACCTGCTCTCGCCGCTTCTGCCAGCGGCCGCACGGGCTCTCCTCCAGGATGTCGCTCTCGTCCTCGCTCTCATCCTCCCGCTCCCGCTCCCGGCCCCGCCTCGGCGCCGGCTCCGGGGCCGCCATGGCTCAGCCGGCCCAGGCCGCCGCCCTCCGTGGTATCCGCGGCCCCACGCCGCCGCCGCCGCCTGCCCTGGCCCCGCGCCCAGACGTCCAGGCGCGAGCGGAGCCGCCGGCCGCCGCCTCGAGCCCCCACCCTGCTCCTGGAATTGGGAGGCGAGGGCGCGCGGCCAGCCGGGGGGCTAGAACCCGCCCGCCCCTCCGAAGCCGCCGCTTCGGGCCAAAGCCCTAATGGAGAATCCCGGCGGAGGGCAGACCCCGTGCCGCGCCCAGCCCGGGCCCCGCCCATTGCCCGGCAAGGCCACGCCCTGTCCCGCCCGACGACGAGGGCCCCGCCCACCCCGCCTACGGCCACGCCCCACCCGAGGGCTCGCCGGGGCAGAACCCCCGCTCGCGAGCCCCATCCCTTACGAGTCCCCCTCCCTGCCTGAAGCCCTGCCCGTCCCTGACTAAGGCCCCGCCCCACGGAGTCCGCCCCGGTCGGGGCCCCGCCTATCCCGTCTAGGGCCCGCCCCCGGAGGTCCTGCTGGGAGCCAGGCGCCCCTCTCCCGCGGGAAGCCTCCGCTGTCGGCTGCAGGGAGCGCAGTCCCCGCCACCAGCCTGACTCCAGCGGACCGACCTCAGGGCTTTCGGCGCCGGCCTGGACCCGGGTACGTCGGATCCTCCCTGGGCGCTCTGCGACCTGCGTGGGACCGGGTCAGGGGCTCCGGGAAAGGTCCCTGCCCAGCTCTCGGAGCTGCAGGTTCTTCCTGCACCACCTCCCCACCACACTCAGGCTACGCAAACCCCGAACCCAGCCCCAGACCCCGTTCAGTCTCCAGGCTTCCTTCGGTCTGGGGGAAGGCCTGGGGTGGAGCATCCCCTCCCCCAAGGAACACGTGGGACGGTCACTGAAGTGATAATAGCAGGCTGACCCAGTGACTTTAATTCATGATCACAAACCTCCCACTGCTCGCAGCTCTGTTCTTTCTATTCTTTTGCACGCGTTTACTGTCCCACACTCTGAAATGCCAATTTCTTCCCTTTCCGGTGACACAGAGGAGGCCAAAGCAGGGAACCCTACCCTACTCACATGCAGCCCCTTTCTCTTCAGGAGGCCCCTCATCACACCCTCTGGCCATGTCAACGAGAGACATGCTCTAGAATTCTTGCTTAAAATCTCCCTTTACCCCGGGGCGCCTGGGTGGCTCAGTTGGTTAAGCGACTGCCTTCGGCTCAGGTCATGATCCTGGAGTCCGGGGATCGAGTCCCGCATCGGGCTCCCTGCTCGGCAGGGAGTCTGCTTCTCCCTCTGACCCTCCTCCCTCTCATGCTCTCTGTCTCTCATTCTCTCTCTCTCAAAAAAAAAAAAAAAAATCTCCCTTTACCCCACAACCCCCACTGCCTTCCCATGATCTCACCCTCTCGCACTTGCTCATTTCCTCCCCCATCCTTCATTGTCTCTTTCTAGGGAGAAAAGTGGTACACACACGTGCCTTCTCTCAAACTCGAACCCCAGCCCTGAACTCCTACTCCATCTCTGTTCATGGTCTTCAGCCCCACTGCTGTATCAGAGTCAACAGGGACACCTCTCTTTTCCCCAGATGTTGCCATGGATGGCATCTGACCCCTTCCACCATCCCCACTGCTGTCATCCCTGTATGACCCACGTTGCTCACCAGGGCCACTGCAGCAGCCTGCTCCCTGTGTCCCGGCTGCCACCTAGCAGCAGGAGGCACAACTGAAATGTCCCTCAGCTGCTCACAACTCTTCTCTGTAGTGAACAGGGAGACCAGGAAGGACGGGCCCCATGTCCCAACAAGACACCCTTTAATTAAGGACTGAAGTTCTAGGATCTTCCAGGGGTCATGCTCCAAGACCTGTTGCCCTACATGTGTGACATGTTTTTTTTATTGTTTACTTTCTTATCTCTACATTTAAAACATCTGAACACTCAATCTGAAAAGAAGAAACCTTTGTTTATAAACATGAATATTTCTCTGTAAATTATGAAGGATATGGCTCTAAAACATGCCAGTCACACCCCTGTGAGGGGACATATGTAATAGACTGCTCTAAGCCAGATTCAGACGCTCACTGACCACAGAGTGGGAAGCACGGGCACCAAGAGGGACCCCAAAGAGCCGCAGACCACTGACTGATAGGAAATGAGTTAGTCCACAAGCAGAAGCATATCTTTCAAATGTATGAGAGTACATTCAATAAAAAAAGAAAACAAGAATCAGATGTACACTATTCAGTGGAATATGCCAAAAAACCCCCACAAAAAAACAAAGGAAAGACTTCTTAGCACTAACTGCAACAAAGTTTACCAGAAAAGGTCACCTAATATCCATCACTGAGATACACAAAGACTAAAATTTGACAAGTAAAAATTGCTGGAGATTTACATATGAATATCAGGAGAGCATAGACTCATTTTAGCACAACATGGGAAACGTGAAGACATTAGGAAAATGGAAATTATTGATTTGTCTTCAGAAATATATATACATATAACAAGGAGGATAGATTACGAAAATCCTCGGACTTTTCGAGATTGCTGAAATACAGAGATATGTTTTTAGAAAACGAAACACCACCACCAAGAAAGGCCATTCTGCTCAAATAACGGAAAGAAATAAGAGGCCCGTCTCTGGGTCGACAGTAGCTCTCTGGAGAAGCTCCACATAGGTGAGGTTCTCGTGCGTGTTGGGGTCGAAGAAGCCCTTGGTGTCGTCGCTCGGGTCCGCCAGGACGCGGCTCATCTCCTCGTCGAAGTAGCCACGCCGGTAGGCCACGTCCACGGGCAGCCGGTGGCTGTGCACGGGGTCGATGATGCCGCCCGTGGCGATCTGGGCCTCCAGCAGGCGGACGCCGTGGTCGCGGACGATGAGGTCCTTCTTCATGGCCTGGAAGAGGGAGATCTGCTCCCCGGTGTAGGGGTCCGTGTAGCCGGTGACGGCGCGCTCGGCCGACAGCAGCTTCTCCTGGATCTCGCCGCCCACCACGCCCGCGGCCACCGCCTCCTCCACGGACAGCCTCCGGTTGCGCACGGGGTCGATGACGAAGCCGGTGGCCGCCTGCGCCTCCAGCAGCACCAGGGCCGTGCCGGGCCGCAGGACGCCCTTCCACATGGCCTGGTAGATGCTCATCTTCTCCTGCCGCCCGGGCTCGTCCTTGGCGGGCACCAGCACGCCCGCGATGCAGCCCGTGCCCTGCAGGTAGCGCTTGACCGAGTCCATCTCCGTCACCTCCTGCAGGGTCTTGGTGCCCTGGGCCAGGTCCCGCAGGGTCTCGGGGCCCAGGATCCCGGACGTGTGCAGCTCGGAGGCGGACACCTGGCGCCTCAGGCCCCGGAACGACACCTTGCTCAGCCGCTCCTCCGCCTCCTCGATGGCCTGGGTGAGGATGGTGACCAGGGCGGGCACGGCCAGGGCGCCGGCCGCGTGCTGGGCCAGAAGCTCATCCCGGCGGGCCCGGCTCAGGTAGGAGGAGAAGAGGACCTCCCACACGGAGGGCCGCTGCCCCCGGAACTGCCCGGCGCGCACGTCCACGGTGGCGGCACGCAGGGCCCGCTCCTGGGGGCCGCTGGCGGCGGGCTCGGCGGCGGCCTGGCCCGGGGGCGGCCCCGCGTCGCCGTCGCCGCCACCGCGCCCGGCTGGCCCGGCCTCTTGCGGGCCGCGGGCGGCGTCCCCCGGCTCGGGCGGCTCGGGCCCTCCGGCCGCCTCCGCCTCCTCGACGATGGTGGTCAGCCTGCGGGTCAGCGCCGGCAAGCCCAGCGTCCCCGAGCCAAAGTCGGCCAGTAGCTGCTCCCGCGTGGCGCCGCTCACGTAGCTGGAGGCCAGCACGTCCCACACGGGCACCGCCGGCCCGCGCAGGCGGCCCACCTTGACCTCCATGGTGGCGGCACGCAGGGCCCCGCGGGGGTCCCCGCCCTCGGCGGCGGCGGCACGGGCCAGCAGCGGGGTGAGGGCGGCGCCCACCTCCTGCACGGTCAGCACGCCCGCCTCGTACCTGCGCAGCAGGTCCTGCCGCAGGCCCTCGGGCACCTCCCGGTGGAACAGGAGCTCCCAGACGGAGACGCTCTGGCCCTGGAGGACGCCGCGGCCCGGCGACACGCGGGCGTCCCGCAGGGCGCCGCGCAGCTCCTCGCTCAGCTGGTGCACGGCGGAGCCCCGGCCGGCCAGCTGCAGCAGGCGCAGCCCCGTCTCGGGGTCCTCCACACAGCGCTCCAGCAGCTGCAGGTACGTGAGGTTCTCGTGCGTGTTGGGGTCGAAGAAGCCCTTGGTGTCGTCGCTCGGGTCCGCCAGGACGCGGCTCATCTCCTCGTCGAAGTAGCCACGCCGGTAGGCCACGTCCACGGGCAGCCGGTGGCTGTGCACGGGGTCGATGATGCCGCCCGTGGCGATCTGGGCCTCCAGCAGGCGGACGCCGTGGTCGCGGACGATGAGGTCCTTCTTCATGGCCTGGAAGAGGGAGATCTGCTCCCCGGTGTAGGGGTCCGTGTAGCCGGTGACGGCGCGCTCGGCCGACAGCAGCTTCTCCTGGATCTCGCCGCCCACCACGCCCGCGGCCACCGCCTCCTCCACGGACAGCCTCCGGTTGCGCACGGGGTCGATGACGAAGCCGGTGGCCGCCTGCGCCTCCAGCAGCACCAGGGCCGTGCCGGGCCGCAGGACGCCCTTCCACATGGCCTGGTAGATGCTCATCTTCTCCTGCCGCCCGGGCTCGTCCTTGGCGGGCACCAGCACGCCCGCGATGCAGCCCGTGCCCTGCAGGTAGCGCTTGACCGAGTCCATCTCCGTCACCTCCTGCAGGGTCTTGGTGCCCTGGGCCAGGTCCCGCAGGGTCTCGGGGCCCAGGATCCCGGACGTGTGCAGCTCGGAGGCGGACACCTGGCGCCTCAGGCCCCGGAACGACACCTTGCTCAGCCGCTCCTCCGCCTCCTCGATGGCCTGGGTGAGGATGGTGACCAGGGCGGGCACGGCCAGGGCGCCGGCCGCGTGCTGGGCCAGAAGCTCATCCCGGCGGGCCCGGCTCAGGTAGGAGGAGAAGAGGACCTCCCACACGGAGGGCCGCTGCCCCCGGAACTGCCCGGCGCGCACGTCCACGGTGGCGGCACGCAGGGCCCGCTCCTGGGGGCCGCTGGCGGCGGGCTCGGCGGCGGCCTGGCCCGGGGGCGGCCCCGCGTCGCCGTCGCCGCCACCGCGCCCGGCTGGCCCGGCCTCTTGCGGGCCGCGGGCGGCGTCCCCCGGCTCGGGCGGCTCGGGCCCTCCGGCCGCCTCCGCCTCCTCGACGATGGTGGTCAGCCTGCGGGTCAGCGCCGGCAAGCCCAGCGTCCCCGAGCCAAAGTCGGCCAGTAGCTGCTCCCGCGTGGCGCCGCTCACGTAGCTGGAGGCCAGCACGTCCCACACGGGCACCGCCGGCCCGCGCAGGCGGCCCACCTTGACCTCCATGGTGGCGGCACGCAGGGCCCCGCGGGGGTCCCCGCCCTCGGCGGCGGCGGCACGGGCCAGCAGCGGGGTGAGGGCGGCGCCCACCTCCTGCACGGTCAGCACGCCCGCCTCGTACCTGCGCAGCAGGTCCTGCCGCAGGCCCTCGGGCACCTCCCGGTGGAACAGGAGCTCCCAGACGGAGACGCTCTGGCCCTGGAGGACGCCGCGGCCCGGCGACACGCGGGCGTCCCGCAGGGCGCCGCGCAGCTCCTCGCTCAGCTGGTGCACGGCGGAGCCCCGGCCGGCCAGCTGCAGCAGGCGCAGCCCCGTCTCGGGGTCCTCCACACAGCGCTCCAGCAGCTGCAGGTACGTGAGGTTCTCGTGCGTGTTGGGGTCGAAGAAGCCCTTGGTGTCGTCGCTCGGGTCCGCCAGGACGCGGCTCATCTCCTCGTCGAAGTAGCCACGCCGGTAGGCCACGTCCACGGGCAGCCGGTGGCTGTGCACGGGGTCGATGATGCCGCCCGTGGCGATCTGGGCCTCCAGCAGGCGGACGCCGTGGTCGCGGACGATGAGGTCCTTCTTCATGGCCTGGAAGAGGGAGATCTGCTCCCCGGTGTAGGGGTCCGTGTAGCCGGTGACGGCGCGCTCGGCCGACAGCAGCTTCTCCTGGATCTCGCCGCCCACCACGCCCGCGGCCACCGCCTCCTCCACGGACAGCCTCCGGTTGCGCACGGGGTCGATGACGAAGCCGGTGGCCGCCTGCGCCTCCAGCAGCACCAGGGCCGTGCCGGGCCGCAGGACGCCCTTCCACATGGCCTGGTAGATGCTCATCTTCTCCTGCCGCCCGGGCTCGTCCTTGGCGGGCACCAGCACGCCCGCGATGCAGCCCGTGCCCTGCAGGTAGCGCTTGACCGAGTCCATCTCCGTCACCTCCTGCAGGGTCTTGGTGCCCTGGGCCAGGTCCCGCAGGGTCTCGGGGCCCAGGATCCCGGACGTGTGCAGCTCGGAGGCGGACACCTGGCGCCTCAGGCCCCGGAACGACACCTTGCTCAGCCGCTCCTCCGCCTCCTCGATGGCCTGGGTGAGGATGGTGACCAGGGCGGGCACGGCCAGGGCGCCGGCCGCGTGCTGGGCCAGAAGCTCATCCCGGCGGGCCCGGCTCAGGTAGGAGGAGAAGAGGACCTCCCACACGGAGGGCCGCTGCCCCCGGAACTGCCCGGCGCGCACGTCCACGGTGGCGGCACGCAGGGCCCGCTCCTGGGGGCCGCTGGCGGCGGGCTCGGCGGCGGCCTGGCCCGGGGGCGGCCCCGCGTCGCCGTCGCCGCCACCGCGCCCGGCTGGCCCGGCCTCTTGCGGGCCGCGGGCGGCGTCCCCCGGCTCGGGCGGCTCGGGCCCTCCGGCCGCCTCCGCCTCCTCGACGATGGTGGTCAGCCTGCGGGTCAGCGCCGGCAAGCCCAGCGTCCCCGAGCCAAAGTCGGCCAGTAGCTGCTCCCGCGTGGCGCCGCTCACGTAGCTGGAGGCCAGCACGTCCCACACGGGCACCGCCGGCCCGCGCAGGCGGCCCACCTTGACCTCCATGGTGGCGGCACGCAGGGCCCCGCGGGGGTCCCCGCCCTCGGCGGCGGCGGCACGGGCCAGCAGCGGGGTGAGGGCGGCGCCCACCTCCTGCACGGTCAGCACGCCCGCCTCGTACCTGCGCAGCAGGTCCTGCCGCAGGCCCTCGGGCACCTCCCGGTGGAACAGGAGCTCCCAGACGGAGACGCTCTGGCCCTGGAGGACGCCGCGGCCCGGCGACACGCGGGCGTCCCGCAGGGCGCCGCGCAGCTCCTCGCTCAGCTGGTGCACGGCGGAGCCCCGGCCGGCCAGCTGCAGCAGGCGCAGCCCCGTCTCGGGGTCCTCCACACAGCGCTCCAGCAGCTGCAGGTACGTGAGGTTCTCGTGCGTGTTGGGGTCGAAGAAGCCCTTGGTGTCGTCGCTCGGGTCCGCCAGGACGCGGCTCATCTCCTCGTCGAAGTAGCCACGCCGGTAGGCCACGTCCACGGGCAGCCGGTGGCTGTGCACGGGGTCGATGATGCCGCCCGTGGCGATCTGGGCCTCCAGCAGGCGGACGCCGTGGTCGCGGACGATGAGGTCCTTCTTCATGGCCTGGAAGAGGGAGATCTGCTCCCCGGTGTAGGGGTCCGTGTAGCCGGTGACGGCGCGCTCGGCCGACAGCAGCTTCTCCTGGATCTCGCCGCCCACCACGCCCGCGGCCACCGCCTCCTCCACGGACAGCCTCCGGTTGCGCACGGGGTCGATGACGAAGCCGGTGGCCGCCTGCGCCTCCAGCAGCACCAGGGCCGTGCCGGGCCGCAGGACGCCCTTCCACATGGCCTGGTAGATGCTCATCTTCTCCTGCCGCCCGGGCTCGTCCTTGGCGGGCACCAGCACGCCCGCGATGCAGCCCGTGCCCTGCAGGTAGCGCTTGACCGAGTCCATCTCCGTCACCTCCTGCAGGGTCTTGGTGCCCTGGGCCAGGTCCCGCAGGGTCTCGGGGCCCAGGATCCCGGACGTGTGCAGCTCGGAGGCGGACACCTGGCGCCTCAGGCCCCGGAACGACACCTTGCTCAGCCGCTCCTCCGCCTCCTCGATGGCCTGGGTGAGGATGGTGACCAGGGCGGGCACGGCCAGGGCGCCGGCCGCGTGCTGGGCCAGAAGCTCATCCCGGCGGGCCCGGCTCAGGTAGGAGGAGAAGAGGACCTCCCACACGGAGGGCCGCTGCCCCCGGAACTGCCCGGCGCGCACGTCCACGGTGGCGGCACGCAGGGCCCGCTCCTGGGGGCCGCTGGCGGCGGGCTCGGCGGCGGCCTGGCCCGGGGGCGGCCCCGCGTCGCCGTCGCCGCCACCGCGCCCGGCTGGCCCGGCCTCTTGCGGGCCGCGGGCGGCGTCCCCCGGCTCGGGCGGCTCGGGCCCTCCGGCCGCCTCCGCCTCCTCGACGATGGTGGTCAGCCTGCGGGTCAGCGCCGGCAAGCCCAGCGTCCCCGAGCCAAAGTCGGCCAGTAGCTGCTCCCGCGTGGCGCCGCTCACGTAGCTGGAGGCCAGCACGTCCCACACGGGCACCGCCGGCCCGCGCAGGCGGCCCACCTTGACCTCCATGGTGGCGGCACGCAGGGCCCCGCGGGGGTCCCCGCCCTCGGCGGCGGCGGCACGGGCCAGCAGCGGGGTGAGGGCGGCGCCCACCTCCTGCACGGTCAGCACGCCCGCCTCGTACCTGCGCAGCAGGTCCTGCCGCAGGCCCTCGGGCACCTCCCGGTGGAACAGGAGCTCCCAGACGGAGACGCTCTGGCCCTGGAGGACGCCGCGGCCCGGCGACACGCGGGCGTCCCGCAGGGCGCCGCGCAGCTCCTCGCTCAGCTGGTGCACGGCGGAGCCCCGGCCGGCCAGCTGCAGCAGGCGCAGCCCCGTCTCGGGGTCCTCCACACAGCGCTCCAGCAGCTGCAGGTACGTGAGGTTCTCGTGCGTGTTGGGGTCGAAGAAGCCCTTGGTGTCGTCGCTCGGGTCCGCCAGGACGCGGCTCATCTCCTCGTCGAAGTAGCCACGCCGGTAGGCCACGTCCACGGGCAGCCGGTGGCTGTGCACGGGGTCGATGATGCCGCCCGTGGCGATCTGGGCCTCCAGCAGGCGGACGCCGTGGTCGCGGACGATGAGGTCCTTCTTCATGGCCTGGAAGAGGGAGATCTGCTCCCCGGTGTAGGGGTCCGTGTAGCCGGTGACGGCGCGCTCGGCCGACAGCAGCTTCTCCTGGATCTCGCCGCCCACCACGCCCGCGGCCACCGCCTCCTCCACGGACAGCCTCCGGTTGCGCACGGGGTCGATGACGAAGCCGGTGGCCGCCTGCGCCTCCAGCAGCACCAGGGCCGTGCCGGGCCGCAGGACGCCCTTCCACATGGCCTGGTAGATGCTCATCTTCTCCTGCCGCCCGGGCTCGTCCTTGGCGGGCACCAGCACGCCCGCGATGCAGCCCGTGCCCTGCAGGTAGCGCTTGACCGAGTCCATCTCCGTCACCTCCTGCAGGGTCTTGGTGCCCTGGGCCAGGTCCCGCAGGGTCTCGGGGCCCAGGATCCCGGACGTGTGCAGCTCGGAGGCGGACACCTGGCGCCTCAGGCCCCGGAACGACACCTTGCTCAGCCGCTCCTCCGCCTCCTCGATGGCCTGGGTGAGGATGGTGACCAGGGCGGGCACGGCCAGGGCGCCGGCCGCGTGCTGGGCCAGAAGCTCATCCCGGCGGGCCCGGCTCAGGTAGGAGGAGAAGAGGACCTCCCACACGGAGGGCCGCTGCCCCCGGAACTGCCCGGCGCGCACGTCCACGGTGGCGGCACGCAGGGCCCGCTCCTGGGGGCCGCTGGCGGCGGGCTCGGCGGCGGCCTGGCCCGGGGGCGGCCCCGCGTCGCCGTCGCCGCCACCGCGCCCGGCTGGCCCGGCCTCTTGCGGGCCGCGGGCGGCGTCCCCCGGCTCGGGCGGCTCGGGCCCTCCGGCCGCCTCCGCCTCCTCGACGATGGTGGTCAGCCTGCGGGTCAGCGCCGGCAAGCCCAGCGTCCCCGAGCCAAAGTCGGCCAGTAGCTGCTCCCGCGTGGCGCCGCTCACGTAGCTGGAGGCCAGCACGTCCCACACGGGCACCGCCGGCCCGCGCAGGCGGCCCACCTTGACCTCCATGGTGGCGGCACGCAGGGCCCCGCGGGGGTCCCCGCCCTCGGCGGCGGCGGCACGGGCCAGCAGCGGGGTGAGGGCGGCGCCCACCTCCTGCACGGTCAGCACGCCCGCCTCGTACCTGCGCAGCAGGTCCTGCCGCAGGCCCTCGGGCACCTCCCGGTGGAACAGGAGCTCCCAGACGGAGACGCTCTGGCCCTGGAGGACGCCGCGGCCCGGCGACACGCGGGCGTCCCGCAGGGCGCCGCGCAGCTCCTCGCTCAGCTGGTGCACGGCGGAGCCCCGGCCGGCCAGCTGCAGCAGGCGCAGCCCCGTCTCGGGGTCCTCCACACAGCGCTCCAGCAGCTGCAGGTACGTGAGGTTCTCGTGCGTGTTGGGGTCGAAGAAGCCCTTGGTGTCGTCGCTCGGGTCCGCCAGGACGCGGCTCATCTCCTCGTCGAAGTAGCCACGCCGGTAGGCCACGTCCACGGGCAGCCGGTGGCTGTGCACGGGGTCGATGATGCCGCCCGTGGCGATCTGGGCCTCCAGCAGGCGGACGCCGTGGTCGCGGACGATGAGGTCCTTCTTCATGGCCTGGAAGAGGGAGATCTGCTCCCCGGTGTAGGGGTCCGTGTAGCCGGTGACGGCGCGCTCGGCCGACAGCAGCTTCTCCTGGATCTCGCCGCCCACCACGCCCGCGGCCACCGCCTCCTCCACGGACAGCCTCCGGTTGCGCACGGGGTCGATGACGAAGCCGGTGGCCGCCTGCGCCTCCAGCAGCACCAGGGCCGTGCCGGGCCGCAGGACGCCCTTCCACATGGCCTGGTAGATGCTCATCTTCTCCTGCCGCCCGGGCTCGTCCTTGGCGGGCACCAGCACGCCCGCGATGCAGCCCGTGCCCTGCAGGTAGCGCTTGACCGAGTCCATCTCCGTCACCTCCTGCAGGGTCTTGGTGCCCTGGGCCAGGTCCCGCAGGGTCTCGGGGCCCAGGATCCCGGACGTGTGCAGCTCGGAGGCGGACACCTGGCGCCTCAGGCCCCGGAACGACACCTTGCTCAGCCGCTCCTCCGCCTCCTCGATGGCCTGGGTGAGGATGGTGACCAGGGCGGGCACGGCCAGGGCGCCGGCCGCGTGCTGGGCCAGAAGCTCATCCCGGCGGGCCCGGCTCAGGTAGGAGGAGAAGAGGACCTCCCACACGGAGGGCCGCTGCCCCCGGAACTGCCCGGCGCGCACGTCCACGGTGGCGGCACGCAGGGCCCGCTCCTGGGGGCCGCTGGCGGCGGGCTCGGCGGCGGCCTGGCCCGGGGGCGGCCCCGCGTCGCCGTCGCCGCCACCGCGCCCGGCTGGCCCGGCCTCTTGCGGGCCGCGGGCGGCGTCCCCCGGCTCGGGCGGCTCGGGCCCTCCGGCCGCCTCCGCCTCCTCGACGATGGTGGTCAGCCTGCGGGTCAGCGCCGGCAAGCCCAGCGTCCCCGAGCCAAAGTCGGCCAGTAGCTGCTCCCGCGTGGCGCCGCTCACGTAGCTGGAGGCCAGCACGTCCCACACGGGCACCGCCGGCCCGCGCAGGCGGCCCACCTTGACCTCCATGGTGGCGGCACGCAGGGCCCCGCGGGGGTCCCCGCCCTCGGCGGCGGCGGCACGGGCCAGCAGCGGGGTGAGGGCGGCGCCCACCTCCTGCACGGTCAGCACGCCCGCCTCGTACCTGCGCAGCAGGTCCTGCCGCAGGCCCTCGGGCACCTCCCGGTGGAACAGGAGCTCCCAGACGGAGACGCTCTGGCCCTGGAGGACGCCGCGGCCCGGCGACACGCGGGCGTCCCGCAGGGCGCCGCGCAGCTCCTCGCTCAGCTGGTGCACGGCGGAGCCCCGGCCGGCCAGCTGCAGCAGGCGCAGCCCCGTCTCGGGGTCCTCCACACAGCGCTCCAGCAGCTGCAGGTACGTGAGGTTCTCGTGCGTGTTGGGGTCGAAGAAGCCCTTGGTGTCGTCGCTCGGGTCCGCCAGGACGCGGCTCATCTCCTCGTCGAAGTAGCCACGCCGGTAGGCCACGTCCACGGGCAGCCGGTGGCTGTGCACGGGGTCGATGATGCCGCCCGTGGCGATCTGGGCCTCCAGCAGGCGGACGCCGTGGTCGCGGACGATGAGGTCCTTCTTCATGGCCTGGAAGAGGGAGATCTGCTCCCCGGTGTAGGGGTCCGTGTAGCCGGTGACGGCGCGCTCGGCCGACAGCAGCTTCTCCTGGATCTCGCCGCCCACCACGCCCGCGGCCACCGCCTCCTCCACGGACAGCCTCCGGTTGCGCACGGGGTCGATGACGAAGCCGGTGGCCGCCTGCGCCTCCAGCAGCACCAGGGCCGTGCCGGGCCGCAGGACGCCCTTCCACATGGCCTGGTAGATGCTCATCTTCTCCTGCCGCCCGGGCTCGTCCTTGGCGGGCACCAGCACGCCCGCGATGCAGCCCGTGCCCTGCAGGTAGCGCTTGACCGAGTCCATCTCCGTCACCTCCTGCAGGGTCTTGGTGCCCTGGGCCAGGTCCCGCAGGGTCTCGGGGCCCAGGATCCCGGACGTGTGCAGCTCGGAGGCGGACACCTGGCGCCTCAGGCCCCGGAACGACACCTTGCTCAGCCGCTCCTCCGCCTCCTCGATGGCCTGGGTGAGGATGGTGACCAGGGCGGGCACGGCCAGGGCGCCGGCCGCGTGCTGGGCCAGAAGCTCATCCCGGCGGGCCCGGCTCAGGTAGGAGGAGAAGAGGACCTCCCACACGGAGGGCCGCTGCCCCCGGAACTGCCCGGCGCGCACGTCCACGGTGGCGGCACGCAGGGCCCGCTCCTGGGGGCCGCTGGCGGCGGGCTCGGCGGCGGCCTGGCCCGGGGGCGGCCCCGCGTCGCCGTCGCCGCCACCGCGCCCGGCTGGCCCGGCCTCTTGCGGGCCGCGGGCGGCGTCCCCCGGCTCGGGCGGCTCGGGCCCTCCGGCCGCCTCCGCCTCCTCGACGATGGTGGTCAGCCTGCGGGTCAGCGCCGGCAAGCCCAGCGTCCCCGAGCCAAAGTCGGCCAGTAGCTGCTCCCGCGTGGCGCCGCTCACGTAGCTGGAGGCCAGCACGTCCCACACGGGCACCGCCGGCCCGCGCAGGCGGCCCACCTTGACCTCCATGGTGGCGGCACGCAGGGCCCCGCGGGGGTCCCCGCCCTCGGCGGCGGCGGCACGGGCCAGCAGCGGGGTGAGGGCGGCGCCCACCTCCTGCACGGTCAGCACGCCCGCCTCGTACCTGCGCAGCAGGTCCTGCCGCAGGCCCTCGGGCACCTCCCGGTGGAACAGGAGCTCCCAGACGGAGACGCTCTGGCCCTGGAGGACGCCGCGGCCCGGCGACACGCGGGCGTCCCGCAGGGCGCCGCGCAGCTCCTCGCTCAGCTGGTGCACGGCGGAGCCCCGGCCGGCCAGCTGCAGCAGGCGCAGCCCCGTCTCGGGGTCCTCCACACAGCGCTCCAGCAGCTGCAGGTACGTGAGGTTCTCGTGCGTGTTGGGGTCGAAGAAGCCCTTGGTGTCGTCGCTCGGGTCCGCCAGGACGCGGCTCATCTCCTCGTCGAAGTAGCCACGCCGGTAGGCCACGTCCACGGGCAGCCGGTGGCTGTGCACGGGGTCGATGATGCCGCCCGTGGCGATCTGGGCCTCCAGCAGGCGGACGCCGTGGTCGCGGACGATGAGGTCCTTCTTCATGGCCTGGAAGAGGGAGATCTGCTCCCCGGTGTAGGGGTCCGTGTAGCCGGTGACGGCGCGCTCGGCCGACAGCAGCTTCTCCTGGATCTCGCCGCCCACCACGCCCGCGGCCACCGCCTCCTCCACGGACAGCCTCCGGTTGCGCACGGGGTCGATGACGAAGCCGGTGGCCGCCTGCGCCTCCAGCAGCACCAGGGCCGTGCCGGGCCGCAGGACGCCCTTCCACATGGCCTGGTAGATGCTCATCTTCTCCTGCCGCCCGGGCTCGTCCTTGGCGGGCACCAGCACGCCCGCGATGCAGCCCGTGCCCTGCAGGTAGCGCTTGACCGAGTCCATCTCCGTCACCTCCTGCAGGGTCTTGGTGCCCTGGGCCAGGTCATCCATCACCTCCTTGCTGATGATTTCTGCATTGATGAGTTCTGAACCTGTGATTTGTTTTCGGATCCCTGGGAACCATAGTTTCTTCTTCGTTTTTTCTTTCTCATCTATTAGTTCTAAAATAATGTTTACTACCTTTTCCAATGCCTGGGTCACATGCATTTTATAGTCACTGATCAACTGGAGTTTTATTTCTTGGGTCACGTACTCAGAGTTGAGCAGCTCCCACACTGATGGCCTCTGGTCCTTGTATCTTCCCACCGGGACCTGCACCTGCTCGGCTTCTAAGGCCCTCCTTGTTGCCTCGTCAATATAGGCAGAGGTTTGGTGGTCCCTGACTACCAGGAAGAGAGCCCAATCTGTCCCTGCTTCTTTTTGGCTCCTCTCCTGTAGCTGTTGGTATGTGACCCTCTCCTGAGTGTTCGGATCCACATACCTTTTGTTCATGTGCTTCTGATCTGCAACGAGTGGGTATGTGTCCTGGTGCAGACAGCCCCGTCTGTAGGCCATGTCCAGGGGGAGCCGGTGGTGGTGCAGGGGGTCGATGATGCCCCCTGTGGCCACCTGCACCTCCAGCAGTCTCAGCGCTTCCTCTCTTCGGACAAACTTCCTCTGCATGGCCTGGAACAGTGAGATCGTGTCTCCCGTGGCTGGGTCTGTGTAGCCTAGGGCGGCCTTCTCGGCTTCCAGAAGTCTTGCCTGCAGTTCCTCACCCACCAGGCCCTCAGCCACGGCATGCTGCACGGAGAGCCTCTTCTGGCTGCAGGGATCCAGCATGAATCCCGTGGCTGCCTGGGCCTCCAGCAGCTGAGCCGCAAACCCCATGGGGATGAGTCCTTTCCTGCTGGCCTCGTAGAAGCTCATCACCTCTTGGGTGGAAGGTACAGTCACCCCCACAATGCAGCCAGTACCCTCCAGATAGGGTCTCACATGTGCCAACCTGCTGAGATCCTGCCCCCCTGATCCCTCCTGGGACAGGGCTTCCAGGGTCCTTTTATCAATGACTCCAGAGTTGAACAACTCTGCAGCTGTCACCTCTCCACGGATGGCTGCCACCTTCATGCCTTGGTATCGCTCCTCTGTTTCTTCCACCGTAGCAGTGATGACCCCCAACAGCTGCTCTAGGGACGCATTCTGGGCTCTGTACTCATGGATGAGCTCCCGTTTCCTTTCTTCTGTGAAGTACTGAGACGACAGTAGGTCCCAAAGGGAGACCTTCTGATTGGCGAACCTCCCCACGTGCATGGTCGTAGTTTGGGACTGCAGAAGCTGCCTTGAGGCTTCATCAATATAGATGTAGGTTTCTCCTTTCTTCACAATTTGTAACAGGTAGAGCCCCGTCTCGGGGTCCTCCACACAGCGCTCCAGCAGCTGCAGGTACGTGAGGTTCTCGTGCGTGTTGGGGTCGAAGAAGCCCTTGGTGTCGTCGCTCGGGTCCGCCAGGACGCGGCTCATCTCCTCGTCGAAGTAGCCACGCCGGTAGGCCACGTCCACGGGCAGCCGGTGGCTGTGCACGGGGTCGATGATGCCGCCCGTGGCGATCTGGGCCTCCAGCAGGCGGATGCCATGGTCGCGGACGATGAGGTCCTTCTTCATGGCCTGGAAGAGGGAGATCTGCTCCCCGGTGTAGGGGTCCGTGTAGCCGGTGACGGCGCGCTCGGCCGACAGCAGCTTCTCCTGGATCTCGCCGCCCACCACGCCCGCGGCCACCGCCTCCTCCACGGACAGCCTCCGGTTGCGCACGGGGTCGATGACGAAGCCGGTGGCCGCCTGCGCCTCCAGCAGCACCAGGGCCGTGCCGGGCCGCAGGATGCCCTTCCACATGGCCTGGTAGATGCTCATCTTCTCCTTTGTGCCCTGGATGAGGACCCCAGCAATGAAGTTGCCTCCCTCCAGGTACCACCTGATGCTGCTCCTCTCCATCACCTCCTGCACTGTCCTTCTGCCCTGATTCAGCAGGTCCAGCGTCTCCTTGTCAATCAGCTGGGACCTAAACAAGTCACTGGCCGACACTAGCTTCCGGAGTCCTCTAAAGGTGGCCTGCGAGGGTTGTCTCTCTGAGGTCTCAACCAGGGCGGTGATGGCCACAGCCACGTGCCGCAGGGCGGTGGCCCTCCCGGACTGGCAGAGCGCCACCAGCTCCCGCCGTTTGTGGATGTCAACATACTCTGAGTGGAGCAGGTCCCACAGTGACACGTTGAGACCTTTGAACCTCCCAGTGCCGACAGGCACCTTCATGGCCCTCAGGGCCACCAGCATGTGCTCGTCCACCTTAAGCACCCTGTCCTGGGCAAGTGGAAGCAGCCACAGGCTGGTGTCAGTGTCCAGGACACAGCGCTCCTTGAGCTGGTTGTACGTCACCCTTTCCTGTGCGCTGGGGTCGAAGAAGAACTTACTGTCCTCGGCCATTGAGGTTAGCACCCGGCTGACCTGCTCGTCCAGGAGGCCAAGCCTGCAGGCTGCCGCCTCGGGCAGGTGCACCCCGTGGACAGGGTCCACTGCGCCCCCTGTGGCCAATTGCGCCTGTAGGAGGGGGAGGCCCTCACTTTGGGGCACCAGCCCCTTCTCCATGGCCTGCCACAGTGAGAGGGCGCCTCCTAGATACGGGTCAGTGTACCAGGTCACGGCCCTCTCGGCTTGCTGGAGCTGCTCATGCAGTGCCCCAGCCACCAGGCCGGCCTTGACTGCACCTTCCACAGATAGCCTCAGGTTGGTCAGAGGGTCAATGAGGGAGCCAGACGCCACTTGAGCCTCCAGCAGCCTTCGCCCCAGGCCCTCAGGCAAGAGGCCGTCCCTCATGGCCTGGCTGATGCTGACCTTGGCCCCCGACGGCTGCAACACCACGCCGGCCACGCAGCCCGTACCCCACAGGCAGGCCTTCACGGCGGGCTGCTCGGCCACCTCGGCAGGTGACTGTGTGCCCTGAGCCAGCGCCGCCAGGGTCTCCTGGGTGATGATGCCAGCGTCCAGCAGCCAGACGGCAGGAACCTCCCCCCTTGGGCCGGGCACCGTGACGCAAGCCTGAGCCAGGAGCTCTGCCTCACGCACCTGTTTCTGCACCGTTTCCTGAAGCTGCTGTGCGGTAGTCTGCCCTGCCCTGAAGTCCTCCAAGAGGCTCTTCCGCTGCTCGTCAGTGAAGCGGCAAGAGCTCAGGAGCTCCCAGAGGGACGTGCCGTCCTCAGCCCCCGGCACGGCCTGCAGGGTCTCCTGGACCTGCTCGTCAGTGGGGACGGCAGCAGCATTTTCTGGCAGGGGCAGGAAGTAGAGCCCAGAGGCCTCGTCCCTCACACACTGGTCCAGGAGCTGGGCATAGCTGGTGTGTCCCCGGCCATCTAGCGTGGGGAAGGTCTTGGAGGAGCTGGACAAGGCGATCGCCATCTCCTGGTCGAGGTAGCCACGCTGGGTGGCCACGGGCATGGGGAGGCGATGGTGGCCTGTGGGGTCAATGACCCCTCCTGTGGCCACCTGGGCATCCAGGAGGCGGGCAGCCTGCTCTGCAGGGACAAGGCCCTTCTTCATGGCCTGGAACAGGGACACCCGCTCCCCAGAGAAGGGGTCTCTGAAGCCGCTGACAGCGTCCTCCGCCTGCCTCAGCCTGCCGTACAGCTCTGGGCCCACCAGCCTCCTGCGCACGGCCTCATCCACGGACAGCGTCTCCAGACCGTGGGGGTCAACAATGGCTGCGGTGGCCGCCTGAGCCTCCAGCAGGGCTAGCGCCACGCCCGGCCCCAGCAGCTGCTGCTTCATGGCCTCGTAGAGGCTGAGCCGCCGCCTGGAGGACTGCAGCACGCCGCCCACGGCACCCGAGCCGCGCAGGGCCCGCTGGACGCTGTCCACGTGCAGGAGGGCCTCGGGGCTCACTGCCCCCTCCAGCACCCGGTCCAGCAGCTCTTGGTCAATGATTTGGGCCTCCCAGAGCTGGTGGGCTGTGACTCGGCCCCGGAGCACGGGCAGCGCGATGTCCACCCACCTCCCCACTGCTCTCCCCAGCAGCTGGGCCACCTGCGCCAGTGACACCCTGTGCTGTCGGTAGTCCCGCAGCACCTGCCTCCGCTGGTCCTCGCTGAAGCACTCTGAGTTGACCAGCTCCCACGCGGAAACCCTCTGTCCCCGGAACCGCCCATGCCTCACAGGCAGCAGCAGGCCCTGGAAGGCCCGTCGGGTGGCGCCATCCACCAGCTCGGGCTGTGAGCGGCCGAGGGGCAGCAGGCGCAGCCCCGTCTCGGGGTCCTCCACACAGCGCTCCAGCAGCTGCAGGTACGTGAGGTTCTCGTGCGTGTTGGGGTCGAAGAAGCCCTTGGTGTCGTCGCTCGGGTCCGCCAGGACGCGGCTCATCTCCTCGTCGAAGTAGCCACGCCGGTGGGCCACGTCCACGGGCAGCCGGTGGCTGTGCACGGGGTCGATGATGCCGCCCGTGGCGATCTGGGCCTCCAGCAGGCGGACGCCGTGGTCGCGGACGACGAGGTCCTTCTTCATGGCCTGGAAGAGGGAGATCTGCTCCCCGGTGTAGGGGTCCGTGTAGCCGGTGACGGCGCGCTCGGCCGACAGCAGCTTTGCAAACACATCAGGCCCAATGAGGCCGGCCCTCAGTGCCTCCTCTACAGAGTATGTCTTGTTTTCCTTTGGGTTAAGGATGAAGCCCGTGGCCACCTGTGCCTCCAGGAGGATGAGTGCCGTGCCGGGCCTGAGAAGCCCCTTCCCGCGAGCCTCGTAGATACCGAGCCGCTCCCGGGAGCTGGTCAGCAGCACGCCCGCGATGCAGCCAGTGCCCTGCAGGTACCTCTGGACCGAGTCCAGCCTGCCCACTTCCTGGGCTGTGGTCTGTCCTCGCTTCAGCTGCTCGTACACGTCCTGATCAATGATCTCTGCTTTCAACAGCTCATCTGGCGTCACGGGCCCCCTGAGCCCAGCAAAGGTGGTCCTGGCTGTGGCTGCAGCCTGCTCCAGGGTGGCCCTCAGCACCGCCGCCAGCTCCTCCAACGAGATGGCGCCTTCCCGGTGCCGCTGGGCCAGTGCCGCCCTCTGCTCTGCGGAGATGGGCTCGGAGAAGAGCAGCTCCCAGAGTGAGGCGGGCCGGCCCTGGAACTTGCCCACGGAGATGGTGGCCGTGGCCTCACTTAAGGCCTGCCGGGTGCTGTGGTCAATGAATGGGGGTCCTTGTGGCTCCCCTCCGAGGGCCCCGTCTGAGAGAGGAAGGAAGGCCAGCCCTGTCTCTGGGTCGGTGACACAGCGGGCCATCAGCTGCCCATAGCCAAGGCTCCCCTGTGTGCTGGGGTCTGAGAAGCCAGCGGCCCGGGAGACACACTGCCACGTCTCTTCGTCCAGGCACCCGAGGCGCAGGGCGGCCTCCAGGGGCAGCCGGAGCCTGCGGGCTGGACACACTGGCCCACCTGTGGCCAGCTGGGCATCCAGGAGTCGCAGCGCCAGAGGCCTGTCCACCAGCTCCTTCTTCATGGCCTGGAAGAGGGAGACTCGCCCTCTGCTGAAGGGGTCATCGAACCCCGTCACCGCCTGCTCGGCCACCAGCAGCTGCCTGTGGAGCTCCGGGCCGAGCAGGCCTGACCTGACGGCCTCATCCACCGTTCGGCGCCGGCCGGTGGCTGGATCCACCAGCGTGCAGGTGGCGGCCTGAGCCTCCAGGAGCGGGAGTGCCATGCCCATCGGGAGCAGGTGCTCAGTGATGGCCTGGAAGAAGCTCTTCTTGTGGCCCGCGGGCAGCAGGACAACCCCCGCCACGCCGCCCGTGCCCTGCAGGTAGCGCTTCACGGCAGCCCATGTGCTCACATCTGACGCCACCAGCTTGCCCTCCTGAAGGCCCTGGGCAGTCTCCCCATCCAGGACCCCCACCTCCAGCAGCTCTGCCAAGCTCACTGCCCCACTCAGGGTCTGGAAAGTGGTCTTGAGGGGCAGCAGAGCCAGCCCTGTTCTGGGGGCTCTCACGCACCTGCCCAGCAGCCCGCGGTAGGACAGCCACTCGCCTGTGTTGGGGTCCAGGAAGCCAGGGGCACCGGAGCTGGGCTCGCCCTCTGCCAGGCCACGCCACGTCTCCTGGTCCAGGAGGCCCTGCTGGCAGGCCAGCTCTGGGGCCACTCGCACACCCTGAATGGGATCCACCAGGCCCCCAGTGGCCAGCTGGGCCTCTAGCCAGCTGTACCCCAGTGCTCTCTCCAGCACCTCCTTCCTGATGGCCTGGAAGAGTGCCAGCTTCCCGCCACCGTAGGGATCGGGGTACCCAGTGACGGCCCGCTCAGCAACCAGGAGCCTCTCCTTTAGCTCCAGGCCTACCAGGCCCTGCCGCACGGCCTCAGACACAGAGAGGAAGTGGCCCTGCGTGGGGTCCACAAGGCCCCCGGTGGCGGCCTGGGCCTCCAGCAGAGCCAGCCCAAGCTCACCAGACAGGAGGCCCTGCTTCATGGCCGTGTAGAGACTCTGAGCCTGGCAGGAGGCTTCCACATATACCCCAGCGATGCTCTTGGACTGGGGCCCGGAGGGGGTGCTGGCTCCCAGCATGGCCTTCACGGTCTTGGGGACGGTGGTCAGCTCAGTGCCGTTGGTGGCCAGGACATCAAGAGGAGGAGAGGTGTGGCCATTCATCATGCTTGGCCAGTTGTGTAGAATTCACTCCCCCAAGGCCCACTGTGTTTGCTCCCTGCGGGGGGAGAAAGGCTGTTAGGGGCCCTGGGATGGCCCAGGCAGGCAGGAGGGGAACAGTCAGGGGTCAGCCCCAAGCCCGGAATCAGCCTGGGGGATGGGGATCAGCATCCAAGTGAGGTCCTTTGCCTTGCCCTGTGGGGTCCCAGGAGGGACCATGAGGGACCTCAGGCCAACAGGGTAGCCTCCAGGATGTGTGGGCTCTGTTTTCTCCTGTGGGCCATCCTCTGGCCCCCATCCCAGCCCCACACCCTCAGGGTCCTGGCGTGGGCTGGGCCTGGAGGGGCCTGCACGTTCCAGGTGGGGGCAGTCCCACGCCACCCGGCCTGTGGCCCCACCCACCCTCATCCTCCGCCTCTAATTTACACCTTCCAGCCTCACAGGCCTCCCTCTGCTCCCCAGAGCTCTTTCCTTGTCCTGCCACCCCCTGGGTTCAGGAACACCATACCCTTCCCCCTTCCAGTCACCTCCTCCAACCCCCCACCCCACCCTGGAGCCTTTGCTCTGGCCTCTGTTCCTTCCCAGACCCCCAGTGGGCTCCAGGCAGGAACCCCCCAGAGTCTCCTGCCTCGGTCTGACTCGGTGTCCTCCCTGCCCCCACTCCCCAACCCCTTTGCTCTCTGGGTTATGTCCTCTCTGTGCCCACACCTGACCTCGGAGGCCGAAGAGAGCAAAGACTCAGTGCTTGTGAGCTGGTCTTGCAGGAGCCGTGGGGAAGGCCAGGCACTGGGCTCTGGTCAGCTGGCTCAGAGTCCCAGCAGCCCCATAGCTGTCCCCTCTCAGCAGACAGCCGTGTGCCCCAATTCTCTGAGCTGCGGTCCTAAGTATCCCACCTCCCATCCCCTATCACACCTGCACACTAACCTCCTTCACCCACACCCATCCCCTTCCGGTGGGGTTCAATCATGTCCCCCCAGAAGAGATGTCTGAGTCCTAACTTCCAGGACCTATGACCCTGGAAATAGGGTCTTTGCATCTGTAACTCAGCTGCGGTCACAGAGCAGGGAGGGCCCTAATCCCTGACACGACTGGTGTCTCTACGGGAAGACAGAGGCGGAGGGGTGCCCCGTGCAGGACCACTTCCCCACGCAGAAGCAGACCTTGGACTCTGGCCCCATGAACTGTGAGAGGAGTTTGTTGTGCTAAGCCGCCCAGGTTATGGTAATGTTGCGACAGCTCAGGGAGCTATGGCCTCCCTCTCTCCTCCGCCCCGTGAGCCGGCCCACACCCGGTTTCCGCAGAACCCCACTTCATTCCCTGCTGGCGCTGGCCCTCAGCTCAGAAGCCCGACCACGCCTGCCCTGGCCTCCTGACCAGCTCTCGGCCCGCATCGCACGCAGGCCTTGGGACAAGGCTCAGGCGCATGCGCATCCCCACTCCACGGCTCTGGCTAAGGTGACCTTGGACTCTGGCTGCCAAACTCAACAAACGCATTTTGGATCTGACTACCCCGCCTCTGGGTCATGGCTGCATGGCCTTCTCGCTGGTGACTTACCCATGAAACCAGGGAGCCCCTCACACTGCCCTCAGTCCCCCAAATCTGCATCAGAAGCCCAGCCTGCCCTGGGGTCCCGGAACCACGTGCCTGGCTGCCTCCCGAGGAGCCTCAGACTCCGCGGCACCCCCACAACTGCTCGTGCTCAGGTTCTGTCTCAAGCACTCTGTCCAGCCGGAGTCCTGAATCCCTCACACCTTCTCTTGCCCCTGCTGGCCCCACCAGGGGTCCTCGTCATGCCCGCCCACCTCACGTCGGTGCCTATGGCCTCCAAGCACCCCTCAGCCTCACAGCTTGCAAGGACCTATGGTGTCGCTCGAGACCACCTTCCCTGTTCCTGCCCTCTCCACCGCCTCCAGCCCTGAAGCAGGGTGGGGGCAGCAAGTGATCGAGGGGGTGGGCAGCTGAGACCTCCATGGGAAGGCCTCAGTGGCCAGGGCTGTGCGGGGGGCAGCATGGCCCAGCAGACACACAGATCTGGTAGGGTGGACGCTTCCAGGTGCTGCCCAGACCCCATCCGGGACTTAAGGAGGGCTGCGGGCAGATGGCCCCCACTTCTGTCCCCTCGGGAACTGCCTTGCCCTTCCTAGGGCTGCACTGGTTCAGTCCCTCGACTTGGCTTGGGACCCTCCTGCAAACCCCTGGGGTGGGTGAAATCCTGTCCCCTTCCCTGCCCATACACAGATGTGGGGCCTGAGCCTCTGGACCCCAGGAGCCGTGTGCTGCTCAGAAGCTCAGACAGGCGGTGCCAGGACCGGGCAGAACCTGAGTGAGGCTTTGGAGGGTAGCTGCCACCTGGCTGGCCACGGGTGCTGGGCTCCAGGGAGGGCCTCGACCCACCAGCCTTCCCACTTAAGTGAGCGGAGCATCAGGCATTTGAGAAGGGGGCTCGTTCGGCGCGCACAGTGGAATTGGGGGTGTGTTGCTAAGCAACCAAGCTTCAGAAGACAATCACAAACGGCTGTGAGGGACCAGCTGGGCATCTAAAGCCCATGTGGGCACCTGGGGCTTCGAAGTGGCCAGTGAAGAGGCTCTGGTCTCTGCCGGGCAGGCTGGGGCAGCGCCGTCGTGAGAGGGGCACTGCGGGCAAGCTGCAGCACCAGCTCCCAGGTGGCCCCATCCCCCGGGAGGGGGTGTACTACCTAAAATGTGACGCACCTGTCCCCCGTAGATGGACCACATGGGTCCAGGAGCCAAGCGATGGAAGCAGATGTGGCCCCCCACCATCCCTCCAGTGACCCCACTCCCCGTCCCTGCGGCTCCGGGGTCAGTTCCAGAGGATGACGGCTTCTGTCAGGGACAGTCCCACCGCACTGAGGGCCATGGCTCCTTGTGTCCCGGACCAAGAGGCCAGAAGAGGAGTGACCTGACTGCCAGGAGGACGTGGGCTCTGTGCCGGGGTGGGGACGGCGGGTGGGCCCCAGAGGCCCACACCTGGTTCTAGTGGCCAACGCACAGTGTTGTCACCTGAGGGGGGCACCGAACCCAGCACACATGCAGTGGGGACGGCCCGGGGAATGAGGGGCAGAGCAGAGAAAGGAGGCCCTTGTCCCGCGGCTTCCCCAGGACGAGAAGCCCGTTGGTGCCCTGGGTGCTGGTGGTGGGTGCGAGGCCACCCTGACCTCCTCCCGGTGGTGAGGCTGCATTACAGGCCAGCTGGCTCCTGTCCTCCCCCCACCGCCCCGGCTTCCTTCCGCAGGGGCCGTCCTGAGCCCACTCCTAACACTCCTGCTGTCAGATTCTGCTTCTGGGACCCGACCTGGACGCAGGCTTTGCTGCCCAGCGGCACCGATGACTGACACGTTTGTAAAGTGTGCCTTGTTCCAGGACGGCCTTCAGAGGGCCTATGAGCCCAGGGGAGCCCCGCGCGGCCCGCACCCAGCCCTGCCCCAGTCCCAGCAGGAGCTCCAGGTAACAGGGCTGTGGGGTAGTGAGAACAGTGCGCCTTCCCTTGGCAGGGGACAAGGGTGGGGAGAGAAGAGAGGCACCTCACTACCCAGCAGAGGGACGGAAGGGTGTTCTGGGCCACGGCAGGGGCAGGAGCAGCCAAGTGAGCAGGGCCGTGGGTGGCCCTTGGCCTGGACATGGGCAGCCAGCCCAGAGCCAGGCAGGCTGTGCTGGGGCGGGGCGGGGGGGGGCAGTGCCAGGCAGGCACTAGATGGGAAAACTAGAGCCAGTACGCGCTCGGGCGAACAGGAGGCTCCAGTTTCCTGCACAAAGGGATTCATGGTGGGAGGGAGGGGGCTGGGTGTCTGAGGGAGCAGGAGGGTAGGAAGTGAGGGCCAAGGCCAGGGAGTCCCTGTGCCGGTGGCAGCTGGGCCAGGCCCCCGTTTGGCTGACAGTGACCTTGAGCCTGGTCTGAGTCTCTCTGGAGCCTGCCCAGGTGGGGCATGAGGAGGATCCCCGGAGTGGGTACTTGAGTCTGCATTGGGGACCTTGGGAAGGCGGCTGGACAGAGGGGTGTGGAGCTTGGGAGAGACAGACCAAGGCATGTGACTGGTGTCCAGGGCCTGGGGAGTGCGAAAGGGAGGGGTCTCAAGGGTGGGAGGCCCAGGCAAGCCCAATGTCACCGAAGCCAAAAGATGGGTCTCCCAGAGAGGTGGCCACCAGCAGATGTGGGCATGATGTGTGACCCAAGGGGCTAGTGGCCTTGGGGCTGGGGGAGAGAGGCTGAGCAGATTTTCCGGGAAAGAAAAGGGAATCTGAGAGGGGGGAGGACTCTTCCTGTGGCTTCCCTGGAGTGGCCCCATCTCAGGTGGCCCCCAGGCAACAAGGGGAGGAAGACAATTCCTGAGGAGGGTGAGTCTGCATTCCTTGGGTGTGGGCCGCCATTTGTCACTACCCCTGAAGGTCAGCCCCCCTCTCCAGCCTGGGATGGGAGTGGGGCGAGGGCTGGCTGGTGGTCCACCTGAGCCACAACAGGACAGAAGGAGGAGGCCAGGCTGCCTCCGCCCACAGAGGGAGGCAGCAGTCTTGGCCTTTGCCCGACTGTGGGCAACTGCAGCAGGGTCCCACCCACCTCCGTGGGGCAGAGACCAGTGGCCACAGAAGCTTGGCATGACAGGAGGGTACAGGGAAGGCAGAGCCCCTCCCGACCCTGCCTCCGGAGGATCTTGCCTGTGCCCACCCATCCCCGACAGCAGGTAGCACCCCAACTGGCCGGGGCCCCAGCCAGGAGCAGCACTCGCCCTCAGTTTGTCAGCTTAATTACCTCGCAGCACCCACCACCGCAGGCGGCCGACTCACTCCTGCCCCTAGGGTCCGCGCCCCCTCCCCACGCCCCGCCCCCGGCCAGGAACCTGACCTGCCGGAGCGCCCAGAGCGGCACGCCAGCCCTGCCGGGAAACCGCGGGCTCGGGGAGGATCCCCGCGGGCGGCATCTCCCACGTCCGTGCTGGTAACCTGGACCCTCGCCCACCGGGGCTGTAGGGAGGTCAGCGGCCCGGCT